CTCATATATTTTTATATCTAAGTGAGAGGAAAAGAAACAACAAGTAATAATAGAACAATTCCTTCGCTAATTTTAGCTACCACTATAAAAAGTTGACAACCTCTTAGTCGTCGTCCAAAAGTTGTTTTCGACTCGTCATTCTCTTAATTAGATATAATTATATATTAAATAAGCTAGTTAATTATGTAAGATGCCATTTGAAAAAATAAAGTTGACACCTTATAAGTTGCAAGGAATGATTAAAAAAGTAATTAATAAATCAGTAATTAGTAAATTAATAAATTAGATAAATCAAGAAATATATGAAACTAAAAAAACAAAAATCATTTTTCAATATTGTATTCGAGTGGTTCATGAAAAATCGACTATTCTGTATAATTAATTCCGTTGATCTTAACCCGTTTGTGTTATTTTTGCAGATTCTAAACATTCATAATTGTATATCGTTGTTCTAAGTGAATGAATTAAAATAAAGGGTAGGATTGTGGAAAATAAAAACTTAGATAACAATTATGCGTCAAAAAACGTGAATGTTCTTGTTTTTGTAAATAGACGCAGACGGTTTTCATTTTAGGTACATGATCTGAGTATTAATGGTTTATAGCTCAAATGAAAAGGGTTGACATAAAACTGATTATTATCTTTATCTTCTAGTTCCGACAAAGACCGGATATTTGCCAACGACCGCGATATAATTAGATTCTTATTTTTCACGTGTTTTTCGAATTTGAAATTGTCATAGAAAAATCATTATTATTATATGTTAAATAGAATTTATTAAATTATATCTACAAGTTACAAGGTGATCATTATTTAAAGATTTAATGTTTGTTATTCAATGGATCTTTCTGCAACTGGAAGTCACATTGGAAATTCAGTCTAAAATTTAAAACAACGTATTTGGCCTAGTTTAGATTATCTTATCTTTTACAAAAGTATATTGATTATTCTTCATTAATTAATCTAAAGTTAATATCTTTAAACACCCTTAATTGAACTACTTTAGTTGTTTGTTTTTGCTCTAGTTCGTATTAATATACAATATGTTGATAATATTTGGTATACTTATTTGTATTTTGATATGTTACGTAGTATAATGAAAATGAACAAGTAAACAATTATACAAAGAATTATATATGCAATTAATATATTTAGGAAGAAAAAAATATAATATTTTTCAGATTGAATTGTTTATTTATTTACATTAACTCGTATTTCGCAGTTTCCCCGCACACGTTGCCTGTCAATAAAAAATTTATAATTTATATTGAAATAAAATATAAATTATTTTATTTATAGTTCATTGTCATGTATCATATTTGATATATTAGAGTCGTTGTATGCACTTGATTGATCGACTTGCATTCTCCCACGAGTAGTTTTGTACTCGAATAGTGCTGAAGTGTTCGAAACATTATATAAGGACTGTAGAGAATAGAAGATTAATTCGAATATTTTTTAATAGAAATGTCAAATAAAATAATGAACTAAGATCAATTTCCTTAGTTTTGAACTAGTCACTTTAATTTATTTAACCGTGTAATAGGAATAATTAATAAGCATCTAAATAAATACTTATTAGCTAATGTGAGTATAATAGCATTTAAATATTATTTTAAAAATTGGTTATTGAATAACATCTAATTTTTTTATTTCAAAACTTTCAATTAAATTTATTGGACAAAGGTTTTTTAAAGGACTTTGGAAGAGAAAGAACTTATGGATTTTTTCATTATTATTGTATTTTATCGTTTCATTTTCCTAGATATTCTTTATGAGTTACCTATTACTTTCCACATCGGTAAATTCTAACCAATTTTAGTAGAACAAAATGGGCTGATCGGATCACGTATTTTTACCATTCATCAGCAGCTGCTTATTTAGTTACATTAAATTTAGACATTAGAGTTAAATGTTGTTGGTTTTACAAATAGAAACCCTGACTTTACGTGGTGCAAATGATAATAGATATCGTGACATCGATCATATCGGTCGGCTTGATCTTTAAGCCAGTTTCTTTGGATGGATTTAATTTTGGATTCGTGCTGTATATAGTAAAACAAAAATATTGCATTACAGACACGAATTTGCTGACCATTTTCTATTGTGTGGGAACAATCCGTATATCTCGTGGAAATATAAAATTTTTATCTATGTTATTACAATAATTATATAACCTAAATTTTTTCATGTACATAATAATAAAGATAGAGATCAGATTTTCATGCAAAAAATATTGGAAAATACTCACATAATGTGCATGTAAAATATAAAAATTCATAAATAAATTAAATATTTTAAAACAACTGCATACCGGAAAAACAAATAAGTAAAATAACAATTTACTTTGGCTGATACTACTCGTATATACATAGTAAACTATAATTCAAATGTAAAATAGAAAAACAACAAAACCCAAACCCAAATAAAATTATGGCGCTGCCAAAAACAGTTTTTGGGAAAAATAAATAAGATTGATGTAGACATTTTTAATTATTTGATCAAAACGTGTACTTGAAAAACTGCTGAAAAAAAGTCATTTTTTTTTTTTTTGTTGTACTTGATGGAAAATTAAATAAAAAAATGTCTTAAATATTACTGAAAATCCAACTTTTATGTAATAATAAAAAAAAAAAAAAGCGAATTTTAATCATTTTTACTAAAATATACAAATGGAATAATTATATTTAGAATCTACACATTACACAACACCGACATATTTATAAAAATTATTCTAGTTAAGTTATTGAAGATTCCGTATTTTTTGTTTCTCGTCTGACTAATCAGTGATAAGAATATTATATAGAATGGCCGTTCGACCTATTGAGGAAATAAAGTTAATTTAATAATAATTAATATCATATATATATAGCAAAATATATGCTTTAAAATTTCATTTAAAGCGGAAATTTAAAAATCAATAATCTTTTCGATTGTCATCGTTTTTGTTAATAATGAATTTCATTTCAATAAAATCGTGACGAGAAATCATGACAAGTCATTATTTCATTAGAATATCTTCCAACCAGTTGTTTTTAATTAGTACATTACAACTGAGTAAGAAATAAACGGAGAAACTTGTTTCTTAACATTTTTTTTTTTGTGTACAACATGACCTGCACATCTAAAGGACCACTTAATTTAATCATATATGAATATATGTACCATTACAGGATGTACTGGTACATATATTATAGATACGTTCACATGTAGTTGCTAGGATAATTTTTTTTAGTATCTAAATCTCAATTGAAATAGTCTTGATATTAATTCATTTCTTAACTAAGAAAATTTAATAATAAAAATAATAATTTTTAACTTATCAAAATAAAAATTACCAGTCTCGACTAGGGTGAACTTGTGAATGAATTGTAAAATAATTAACCAGAATCAGTCTCATTCTAATTGTAAATAATAATGTGTTGAAGAAATTTAATGTAGTACGTTGTTTAAAATTCACACGTGTGTTATACAAAACGTCAGCTAATATGTACTTACATCTTATTTGTTTATAATGATAATTTTACCAACGGATTTAGTTGAATATGCTTCAGGTAGTAGAACTTGGAAAGCATCCAAGTTTTTCGTTACTTTTCTCAAAAGACTCATATATGTGACAACATTAAAAAACGCTTACAAAATTTGTTATGGGATACAAGTACACATAATTCATAACTCAACATAAACATTCGGAAACTACTTCTAGACTTAAACTACTTATTGAGGCTTAAACGTTATTCGGTGAAATTGAGTATACGGTAAAAGATCCGCTTTCTGTGTTAGCATCAATTGGGAACTGAAATCGAAAAATATATTTAAAGTTAAATTTAACTATTACTGTATTTAAAATACTTGATTATAATATACAACTATAATAATATTGACGTTCTGTGATTTTCGGCAACAGGCGGTGATATGATGAATTGTCATCTGCCAAATTTATTAAGACCCATGCTGACTTTCCTAAAAGCTAATACCGAATATATTTCTATGTATAAATTAATTCATGTAAGGCGGTGACAGCTTGTAAATGAATGCATAGGTATACTTACATTAAAAACAATATTGAGCAAACTTATAATTAGTTTTTACACGTGAGCAGAAACGTAACTAAAAGAGGGTAATTATTTAATTTATAATTACAAACGTATCACACACTTAACTTAATTAAGCTACATGAATGTCATCCAGTGAATCTATTTTGTCACCTAGTTGGTTGTATTTTTGACATTTCCTTATCAAATAGGCGACACACATTTAAAAAATATACTTATACAGTGTAATTGATTAAGAATACTACTCTCCATTTTTTTTTTGTTAATTAATCATTTTTCCATAAAAATGGTTGATCGAATAAAGAAAATTATAAAAATAAAATTATTTTTACTCATATTAAAAAATTATAGTTAAGGATTTCTATCCGAGGAAAGATGAAAAAAAAATATAGCTACACATTACAGTTAGAGCTTTTCAAATTTAATGTTTTTTCTCTTTACAAAAACGAAAAATTCTCAATAGTTTATAAGAAAATGAGTGGCTTACTAAATCTGATCAGTTGCCGCTCGTAATGATTCTAGTCTATCGTTTTAATAATTTCCTGAAGAAAAATAATTTTTATAAAGAAATTAATTTTTTTATTTACACTGTTATAATAACTGTGTAAATAATAATTTCAGCTATTAATACTAAGTTAAATAGATATAATTTCCTTATATCAACAAACAATTTTGTTTTGATAGACAACATCAAAATTCAGTTGATAACATTTTCAGATGATTACGTAAAAGCTGTTTATAATATTTTTTTTCTCACTTACCACCTAAAAACGATAAAATTCCCTTCGGAGGAGTGCGTACAATTTAGTCAGTGAAAAGAGAGAAACTTGTAATAGCGCGAATACGTTAAATATTCTTTGCGATTTGTGGAAAACCTGATGCACTCCCACTCGACTCTTTGACCGCCTCCAACAACCGGCACAGTCGGAAAGCTTATAAAAGATCATAATTAGAGGTCATCGGATCTTAGATACATCGCCAATGTTGTGAAGTCACATGGTCGACAATGCGATTTTCATTCGATTTCGGGTAGTAATATTATAAAGTGGTGCCGCCGTTTTATGAACATAAACAATTTTTTGTATGAATCGACACATTTTTAGGAGCGACATTGCTTATTTTTATACCGGTGTAAATTATTTTTTGTGGTAAAGTTAAAATTCATAGGCGATCGTACGTTTTTTGTGGATTTACTAACACAATGGATAATAAAAATGTAAGTATACACGTATCTTTTTCTCGGATTTTAGAAAAATCATTTACAAAATTTAAACACTCTCTTAAAACTAAAACTATATAAGTATTCTCTGAAACTGCAAATCTTAATACTTATACATAATTTTATTTATATTTAACATCCTCTTTAAAAGCTTAAGTATGTGCTACATAGAATGTAAATATTTACATATTCCAGCGCAATAGAATCGAACTCGGTGCCTATTTACCGAGGCATGACATATTACTAACTGAACATAATTTATATAAATAACAAACATGCAATCAAATTTATACATTAAGATGTAACAATAGTTAAAAAAATATAATATCGATTTATATTTAAAAATGTATATAATAAAATAAAATGAAAATAATACTAAATCAACACATGTACATTATTACTAGGAATATAAAATTAAAATATGAGATTGCACTGGAATGATATACAATTTTTTTAGAACATTTATTTTATATCTGAAGGGCTAATTGTAACAACCAAGCAAATCCAATTCCTTAGAAAACAAATTTTTTGTTCATTTTGAATAAATATCTTTTTTTGCGTTCTTCTATACAATAATGAATTTATATTCAAAATATATCCAATAAATATTTCGGAAATACAATGAATTAAAAATAATTGCTTTCCCTTAAAAATGTCTTTTTACTTAAAAGTGAACTTGCCTATTTATTGCACTCAGTCCTTTGGCGCAAGCTCAATATAGTAAATTGAGGATGCTTAACGTCCCTTCTATTAATATCAGGCAATTTGACAATTAAAAGTTTACACACCTGCGTATATTATCTGGAGTAGGGGAACTTATCGTGCATAATTAATTAAAAAGCCCTTCAAAATTACTTCGGATTGTGTTTGTTTTAGTTTAATAATACAAAAAAGTATTAAATTTATTTGTTTAATAATATAAATCATTCAAAATTATAATTCCTCGATGAAATTTTAACAGTTTATTAAGATAAACTAACTTATGTATACATGTATTATAATTAAAAAGTAAAATAAAAAAGAATGAAATAAAACTAAATTTCTTTTTAATATGATACTTAACTCATCAACAACATCTAATCAAAAAACAAATGAGGAATATTAATAAATAGTTAACATGTCTGTTTATCGAAGAAAAAAATTCTTGTTTAAATGAATATTCAAAGTTTTTAATAAAATATCACCAGTATTATCATCTAAATGTACTCTTTAATTGAACAAAATTATTTAAAATGCTTAAATTATAAAAATATATTCAACTTTTTTTTTTTAATTTTCTTATGTGAAAATAAAATACCTTTACACACGTAAAAAAAAAACTATAATTTTTAAATACAAGTTTTGACAAATTCTGATAATTAAATGCAAAATTATAGCAAGTTTAAACATTTAATTAAATATTGAGTTAATATAAATTTAAATATAATTGACAATAAAATAATAATGTTAACTAATATGAAAAATTCTGTGTCCATTTTTTTTTTTTGCAAATTTTTATTAATTAGAAAAGGTAGTAATTAGTATGTTTTTCACAAAGTATATGATTATGAGTATTTATTTAACAAGTAAAAATCTATATATAATAGAAAATTATGATTGCTGTAAGTTACATTTTGTAACATAAAATAGTAAGTAATGATATTTATTGTATTAAAAATTATAAACAAAGTAATAATTTATATTAAGATTTTATTATATTATTTTACTTTTTACTAAATAATAAAAGTAAACTGCTCCAACTTAAAACCAAATAAGGCAAAATGGTTATATGTTTCTTTGTTAATTCAATTAAAAATAATATTTTGTAAATATTAGCTAAATGTCCAAAAATTATTTACATTATAAGGGTACGTATTTTATTAACTATGTTATTATCGCCAACATAAATTTCATAATAACTAAAAAACAGTAACATTGTGTAAACTTTTTATAATTTTAACAATTTAAAAAGTAATTTTTAGATATAAGTAGAGTCTGAACGTTGGGATAGGAAATTATTGTATTATAATTTGTAGACTTCTTACAAAAATCTAATATAAAAAAGGTCTTCAACAAATATAGTTGTATTAAATGAATTAAAAATTCCTGACTAAAAAAATTTAATGAGTTTTAGAGAAATGATGTTTTATAATTACCCTAAAATCTGATCTAAAACGTAATGATATTATTAAACAGAATTTAAAAAAAAAAAATTAATCCCAAATATCGTTTTATTAATTTAAGTTATATCTGTCCTAACTTAATTAAGTTGAAGTTTTAAATAGTAGTTAAGTGCTCACTTAACAGCAGAAACAAATTATGGGGATTCATTGGTATGTCCTATCATGGCAGTGATATTAATATATAAGGTAATGTTTCAATTACATATAATTATTCATGATCTCTTCCCAGAATTTTGTTAGAAATTCCATTTAGATGTTTTTATGATGAAAAACTCATCTTTGAATTTGTTCAAAATACATTGTGAATATTATTAGATTAAAATAAACAGTATTTAATAAAGGCCGTGGCTTTAAGTCATCAAAATAATTTATAGTAACACTTTATGACTACAAATTAATTAGACTGATTTATTGTATCACTTTTTTTAAGGGTGGTTGCATTCTGAATGATATTAAATTCAAGGGAGTGAAATTTTATTAAATCACATCACTTTCAAAAAATAAATAAATGACTCCAGGTTTTGTGTCATCATATTAATACATATTTCTTATATATTACACTGAACGTTGTATTCTATTTGATTAAAATAATATATAATAAAAACCAAAAAAAAATTAAATTGATCTAAAGTTTGGGTATTTATTTTTCAATTAATGTTTTTGTAAATTAGTGAGTATTTATTGTTGATCACTCTAAAAACGAAGTTTTTTAGTATTGTCAAGAATCCAATGAAATAATTAAAAAAATTTTAGAATATAAAATTTGGAAAACTAAAAAATATTATTGTTAATTTTCATTGGGTAAATCATAAAATAACAAAGATGTCTAAAAAAAGAGCCACATGTCATTCAATTCGATCTCCTATTTAAGGTTAAGTTATTGATAATAATATGATATTCAGTGTTTATTTAAGCTCTTTAATTTAAAAATTAAATTCTACATAATTTAATGCAATTGTATGGAATTATACAAAAATAAAAGTTATATTAATAAATTATTATTTTTCTAGGTGCTTGTATTTATGACAATATTGATGGTCGTTCAATGCACGTAAGTCAATCAAATAATGTATTTTTACTATTACTAATACTTTTGAAACATTAAATATTCTGTTTTTATTTATGATATAATACACAGAAAAATATATCAATAACATTACTGTTAGTTGAGAATTTTGTTTAGCTTCGACGCGAAACTGAAAAGGTATTGGTTTTGTAATGGTGTACTTCTTTTTGTCTATCCATAAAAATTCTTAGCTCTCACTGGACCTATTTTAATGATCAATAGGTCAAAAAAACTCAATTTTAATCTAGTAAAATCTATTGTCACCAAAAGTTGAAATAAAACTTTTTAATCTCAGTAATTTAGCAAAAAATCTGAAAATTAGGCTTCCATAAAAAAATGTTCTGCATTTTAAAACTGCTATATTAAAAACACTGATTTTTATGAAATTTTATTTAGTATACTTAAGACAATAAGCTCATCTTTAGTATAATTTTTTTAAAAACCTAAGTACAGAGAGGATTTGAAAAAGATCGCCTACGCATGTATATAAAAGTTTTTTCAACTCGATTTTTGTAAATATTTTGGAAGGTCTGACAACTTCTAATCTAAATCAAATTATATCTTATGAAATATACTACAATATAAATAAAAAATTTGTTCAACGATTGTTCTTCTATGAGAAATTGACCATCAAAGTAAAAAAAACAGCAATTAAAAAAAAAGAAGAATTTTTGGAAAACTTTTTTTATGCTTTTGATTTTTAATATTTTAGTTCAACTTTGTTAAAATTAATCTACTAAAAAAATTCAACATATATTCAACAAAGTGTTTTATTATGATAGTGATATTAAATACTATCAGATATCATCTTCTCTTGTCTCAACTATGCAATGTTTCCACTGTGCTGGGTTTTTTACTTATGAAAGATGATTTATTTAACAAAAACCATCTTTATTGTTATTTAAGTCAAAATTTTCAATCTCCAAAAAACGATTCAATTGCAGGAACATTTTGGGGCTGGAACACCTCAACGGCATGTTGTTGTGGGCAATTATCTATATTATAATAGTCTTCAATTTGTCCATTTTAGTCTCATTTGGCACTTCAAAAACAATTTAAAAAAATTTTTGATGAGCAATAATTCCACAAATAAAAGTATACATTCCGTTTCTCGAAAGAAATTCAAGGCCTAATTGATTGTATGTTGAAAATAATTTTTTAATATAATAACTTATACGTACAATGTATAATTATGAGTAAGAAAACATTTATATTATAAATAATAGCATAGAATCCTCCAAGTATACTTTAAGTGTTAAAGCAATATTTTTTCTTGTTTGGAAACTAAAATTGTCCATGAAATTTCATTTCTGATTATTATATTGTTTTGTTTTACCGTAAAGATGCACATTAGAAATGCAGGTGCGATAATCACTTTACTCTGAACTGCACCGAAGGCGTTTACCTGCATAAGGAAAATGATACGCGCCTAGATAGTCTTTGTAGATATCCATTTCAAACGAAACAGGATTTGTGTATAATTTTTAGAAAAAATAACCAATAATGTTAAATGAATCGTCATGCGCGTAAAATATTACATAGCTAAAGGCGCTTACTTATAAATAAATTTCTATGAAAAAATGGTTACTTCTTAGGATTGTTGTTTGTTTGGAACCACTGAAAACCAGTTTCTCTAATGTATAAAATAAAAGTCTATGGCTGTGTGAACCGTTAATATAAAAGAGATATACGAGAAGATATATTATTATTATTCAGTGATGCGTCTTGTACAGTCGAGAGCAATATGCATTTTATTCCAATAGATTTGTTGTACGCAGCAAACAGTTTTATCGTTAAAAATTTGTTTGCAAAAGTTGCATTTCTTTATGCAAATTAAATCCGCATACATAACAACTGTCCAACTTTTTTCTGTTGCTATACATCCAAAATGTGTTTCACTCAAGGTCATAAAAATAAAATGTGAATTTATATTTTGAAAATTTACATCGCTTTCGTTCTAAGATGAATTACTGTACCTATTTTATTAAAGAGTCGTTTACGAGTTTTACTCATTTTTATAACACTCCCATAGGTTTCCATGTTTTAAACACATTAACTCTGAATGTAAATACCTATCGTGAAGCACTTAAATACGTGTTTTTAGAGAAAACATAGTTGATTCGCCGCCAACTAAAATGGTTATTACATAAGCAGAAAATAAAATATTAATTAAGAATTGTGAGGGTCGTGTACTTAGCAAGATACTTAAAAACTTTGTTAATAATCATGAATCCCTCGATGCCAGAAAACTATATTTTTATTTCATTGAGTTACATTTACAATGAAATTATTTTTATGTATCATGAATAGGTAGTAGGGACAATTAAGGATAAATTTTACTATGAAAATTCAATTTAAAATATACTGATTTTACTAACCAGAGTATTGTACAAATTACTATTTTGTGGTCGGTAGGTAGTAATTTGATATTGATATAATGAACACTACAGTCATTAATGATAAAGATAAAACAATTCCAGTGCTGGGTGGTATGTTACCGTTAGTATCTTTATGCGACCGTCGTTAAATAAATTATTTTCTAGGGTCAATTCGGTTTGATTTTAAGACAAAAACTACAAATAGTCTAAAACGAAACTTCAACAAGTCTATCTGTCCTGGAATACATCACTTTTTTAAAATCTCTCCCAAATTAATTTTATCTCATACGAGTCAAATATTCATTCAAAGAATTATTGGTCATGTAAATTTTATTAAAAAAATTAAACCTCGCGTTGTAAAATTTTAAAAGTTGTCAACACTTTTTAAGAAATTCAAAATATTTAATATTGTTACTTAAAACTGTATTAAAAACGATTATTTCTAAAAACTTTATGAAATTATTTATATTAACAGAGTTCAAGAATTCAATAGTCAAACTCAGAAAATTATATTACTTTTAAAAATGAAATTGATCCAAAAATAATTGCAAACAGTTAATATTTATATACAAAAGAATAAAAATGTTTCCATACATATTTTTATGTATTATTGAACGTTACATTATTTTTTTTATAATGTATAGAAATTTTAATTTTTTTTAAATCATTAAAAGAATATTATATACACAGTATGAGATTTTCTTCGAATATTACTTTATTGAGATCATATTGGTAGATTAAGTTATTAGACTGGTGCAATATGTTGTAAATACATTTTTGACAGTTTGTGTAATCGTATTATTATTTAAAATACAACCACATTTGTTTTGTTTTTTAGGAACACGACTCTAGGAAATGGTGCCGAAGATTTAACAACTGATACCGTTTTAGTAGAATTGAAGAAAAAAATTGAATTTACGTCTGTTGGTGATCACATAGAAAATAAGTCGGAGGATAATAATGTAACGGAAGTTGTCAGTCAGAGGTCAGCACGACAACTATACAGCCCATTCGGTTACCCGTCTTTTGTACAACGCAGAGCGTATAAAGTTCCGGCCAAGATGAAAAAGAGACCCGTAGGAGGTGGACGTATGAAACCACGCAGGCCGGGTGGTAGACCTAGGCGCAGACCATTTGCGGGAAATCAACAATCAATGGGACGGTTTAGGCGATTGCCTCCACAATTTGTCCGACCACAACAAAACAATTATATAGACCCCAACGACTACGAAGACGGATTCGAGACGGCTGTTGCCCCTTCGTATGATTATGGCGGCGATAAGGATTTAGTTGAGGAAATTCCAACTTCACTGCTATATGCCACAGGTTCGCGGTTGCCGGCTACCGTAGCATCATCTACCATCTTGCGCAAGCGACCCACTTACGAAGAACAGGCGTCCATACCAGCGGCCGCAGTTATTCACGTACCAGTGCGCGTGAATAGGCCAGTGGCAACTCCTGCCCCAACAACACCGGCCGTCGACTCGATGGAAAAATTACGACAGCTCGTGCATCAGGCTATGGATGAACATTTCGCCAGTCGCCACCAAGAGTTGTACTCCGATGGATTTGATAAACAAGTATTCAGCGCCAAGTACAAGCGACCGTCTTTGGACAAGGAAAAACGCACGTCCGCAGGAGATATAATATTGGGCACACAATCTTCACAAGTTCAGACGTCGACACAAAAGAGTCACGCTGATGTCGACGCAGATGGATCTGACGACAGGCTCACGTTAGCTGAGATATCAGCTTATATGGGCGCAAAACCAGCAGAGACAGTTCTTAGTTCGGGTGGACATCGTTACGTACTGTCCGATGCCCTCCAAGGTTACCATCAGCATAAAACTGATCAGCAGTACTTGCGTTATGTGACACCACTCGAAGCTCTTTTAGAAGTACCCGTTGGTCGATGGGCTTACCAATAAGCTCAACGATAGATATTAATTTATGTAAACGTCTTGCAATACAATTAAACATAACAATTGTACTCGAATCGCTAAAATAATAACAACACACTACTGTTTCTATAAAAACTGATGTACATACTAATATGGTATATATTATAGCATATAACTATAAATAGTATGCAACAATATTATTTCGTTCCAAGTACTTGAGTTTTTGTAATGCACAAGTTATCACAAGTCTCGTATGTTTATAAATCATAAAAAATATTTAAGATTTTGATCATACATACAAATAGTATAACACTAACTCACTTACCCTTTTTTTACCTCTGCGACTCAATTTGTTTAATTATATGCTTTAATTATCTGACTAGACGCATTAAAAGTATATGCATAGCTAATACTCGTATAAGAGTAGTATAAATATTTAAAATATGTTGTTTTAATACTAAGATCAAAACAGAAAAATTATTTATTGTGTATAAAGGACGTTGATAATAATCTGTTGCAACTGCTACTGATGAAGTATTATTTTCTTTTAAAACTTTCTTTTTGTAAATATTTCTATTTTAGTACAAATAATATTATCTTTTGTTTTATAAACTATTCGTGTTTTTTATTTGTTAAAATATTCTATTCTGTGTCACTATGTAAAAAAATAAGTATTTTCATCATAAATAGCATCCGACATAGAAAGTTCCCTTTATTATTCGGAATTTTAATCAAAGCAATAATATAAAAATCAAACCGTAGTAAGATTTTCAATGATATTCAAAGTACGTTCGTGGTAAAAATTTGAAATGTTTTTATTTTATAAATTATTTAATTATCATAATATTTATACGCTATATTTGTAATTGATTATTTGTTTTAATATAAATTATTGTTATGCATATTTTATTAATTAAATTTAAATGTTTAATGTAATATAGACAAATAAATAATGTTATTAAAGTTTTTTTAAGTCGATTGAATATTTCTAATTTATCTATATTATTTTTAGCAATCTTATGCAACTTAAAGTACCAAAATTCTGAATTACAATAAATTGATGAACTCATGGATACAGATAGAAATTTATTTGGAGAATACATTAAATTTAATCGTTTATTGTGATTTAAAGCTTAAAAGTTATACATGAGTTTTGCCTTTCTTGTATTTGAGCCTGTGGAAAACATGACCAAATGGACATTATTTATATCAAGTATAATTTGATAAAAATTAAGTATAAATAACATTTTATTAGTTGCAAGATGAAAAATCATCGATATTAAAACATTCAATAAGATATTAACTATAAAAATGGTCCCTTGAAATCGTACAAGTTTAAATAAACGCAGCTTAAAATGCATTACTGCTCTTATTGGCGTACTAACTATTGGGCGTAAAAAGGAAATCTATTAAATAATTTTTTTTTATTTATTATTGACACATCTATAGATTTTTAAAGTCTATGCATATAAAATTTCATAAATTATTGGCTCTATGTGCAAACAAGTAATATTTCTAAGAATAAATTCTAATGCTTTTTGACGCTACTGAACTGTCAATAAATTAAAAGTATTGAAGCTAAAATAATATTTACTCGTAGTGAAATATTTTAAAAGTAGTGATTTCTGTATAATAATAGTGTAGCTTTCATAAAATTACATTTATAATCCTTCAAGTGCAAATTTAAATCAATGTATTTGATTAAAACCATCAATGTTTATAATATATAAATATTTTATTTTTGACATCACCTACAACCATTTATTATAATTTTCGAAAAAGAGAATGAATGTTTTTAAAACACTGCATATGTTACTGGTTTGAAAAAACCGATACTAATGTATTTTTTTTTTTTTGAATTTATAGTCATGTAAAAATGTTTCACTTTTATCGAAATAGTTTATTTCACAAGTGAGAATTTTTTACCACTCTAAAGAATACGTGACTAGTAAAATATTTGTTAATTGAAATCAATACAGCCATCTACACATTTTTTTACCAGGAAAATCGGTTGAAGAAAAATTATTTTCTCTTTTTTGGCTATTGTGAATAGCGTGTAAACGTCTATTTATAAAAAATAAATCATTGCACATTTCTTAACAATTGACTCAACTATTTTGTTATACTACAGATTAGATCAATTTCGTCTTATACAGTGCACTCCCTTCCTAAAACTTGTGTGAGGATCATTAGCTTGCTAAGGCCGCGTTTAAAAATATAATCAATATTGTAGATACTATATAAGAAAAAGGCTCATTATGTTTAAATAGCTTAATTATAATTAACAAAATAGTGAGGATATTTTAGAGTGTTCTTTAACCTTTTGTTTTCGGCCAATCCTTCTTTCGATTTTATCTAACAAAAATATTATAAGCTATTAAATTTTTTTTATGTTATAATTCGTAGCACTAAATAATACAACCAGTGCCGACTTTAGTCGTATGAACGATTCGTGACACAGCAAAGGGTTGCAAAGAAAAATGCGATTTTCCATGATATTTACAAAAATTGAGCGTTTCTTTTTTTTTCGTTCATCATTTTGAAAAATGATCATATTTTTTTTTTTTACAGAACGCCAAAATAATGCTCGTTTAATGGCCTAACGTCAACATTAAATGCAATTGTGTCTCTGGGAAAAACGAGACTAGAGTAATATGAAGTCTCAACTCAACTTACATCCAAACAATAAATGTGAGTTGCCCGATCGACAAACATTAAATTCTAATGGATGTCTATAGTGTAGTAATTAAGTTTATAAGAACTACGTACGGATAATCACTAATTAATTAGTGATTACCGGTAGGCGGTTGCACAATAACAATTGCTGTAAAACGAACATCTTGATTATGTATAGTTATTTTAAGTACTAACATTAACTTATACTCGGATCACAACAAAAATTGATTCATTCGAATAATATTGAATTTTTCACGGTCTGGTTTGCCGTCATAGGATCGATCACGACCATCAATATAAGCACTTGCATTTAACCTTGTCTGTTAAAGTTGAACTCCTTATGGGCGGAAACAGATGAATTATTTTGAATTTAAAATTGTACATAACATCAACATAAATACCGTTAAACTTTGAAGTGAATAAAGTCCATTAATTACACGTAAGTTTGTAGTTATTTATTATAATAAATTACTTTTGATAATTATCAAAATCTTGTAAATCATGGTGGTTTTAATAGCTATTCTCCATGACGATATCCGGGTTCAATTCGATCTTCAAAACAGATAATATTGCAGCTCTTAAACAAAACACTTATTTTATAAAGTTAATTTTGTATGTAAAGAATTCTTATCTCGTTAGAATTTCCGTGACAACATTAAAACAATTCAAACGTTCACTGTTATAAATAACATTCCAATCGTCAATCCTATACATATTTTGTTCAAATTAAAACAGTTAAAAGAGCTAAACAAACAGGCAATATTTCCAAAAAAAAAAATGTCAATTAGCTTGATCAGTATATAAAATGTATGGGAAAAAATAATATCACACATTTATGGAATTATGAAGAATGTTAAGCTTTAACTTTCACTCAGATTCCTTTAGTATTCTTATAAATTTTTTCTCACTTCAATGCTTAAAGAAAAAAAACAAATAAATAAATTTTGAAATACAATTTATCTAGAAAATATTAAAATACTATCATTAGATATCAAAATTAATCAAAACTGTACCCTGTAAGCTTGGCTGACAGCGACGTTGCCTTCATTTTCTGCTTTGTCGGAAGGTTCTTTGAATTCGTCAGCTCCTTCTTCTTCGTCTTGCTCTTGAGACCCTAAAGTTTCACGGCTGTCGTGTTCGTTTAAAGCAAACTTGTATCCATCGCCAAAACGATAACCCAGTTCTTCTAATGATAAACTTATGTCATCGTCGCCATCACCGGCACTTTTTTCATTGACATCTCTGACATTGTTTAATTCTCGTTCAACTTCCGATGATATCGCTCGACCATGACCAATTACTTTGTTGTATTGTTGGGCTCCGGTCTTAAACATATATTCACAAAGTTATATAAATTAAGTATTCAATTAAGCATTTTACTAATATCAACATTAAAATGCTTAGAACTATGAAGTTAGCATCAGTAAAAAATTATTTATGGGACGAAACTCTTTATTTAAATTTTTAACATATCTTAGAAGTTAAAAACCCAATAGATTTTGTTTTAATACATGTTCACATTACAAATTAATTAATTGTAGTACATTAAAAAAAAAAAAAAATGATACATTAAACCCATATTTATTTATATTCGATTAGATCATTTTAATGAATTAAAATAAATCAAACATAAATATAAAATAAATTTACAATTCGTAACTATATTGTAAATTTAATATTTCAAATTAAACCAAGTGTTATTTTTTCGTAATTAATGATTATTGTTTAGTTTACGTTATTTTCCTAATAACACTAATAATATTTTTTTTAATTTAAGTTAAATACCTTTAACAGCTAATCGCCACACAAAGGATTTCTTAGTCGTAATAATCATTTCGCGTAAATTAGTAAACAAACATTTAATTATACATACAATGTATTTTTGTTTCTCAAAAAGTATAACACAGTTTGTTTTGTATATTGTACAGACTTTTATTTAAAAATGTATAATATTATTTTAATAAAAAATATCAAGAACAAAATTATTTAAATAAACTTAAAGAATTCTTAAACGTAATGGCATTGATTTTAATACATATATATTTATATACACGACACATAATGTGCCCAACCAGATTTATATCCTCTTAATTGGTTAACAATTAGGTATTTGCTGAGGCAATTCTACGGTTGCTTCTGTCATGGGAAATGTGCTGTCCAATACATGGACGTTGGTTGCCTTGGAAAATGATCGGTATACAAGTCTGACGTACGCTGAAAGAAAAATAAACCGAACTTAGTGACGTGAAAAGTATCAGGCGATTGAATGTTTTTTAACGCGTACGACAGAAATGAATAAAGCTACAAAGACATCAAAGAGAGTTGTTCTCTCTCTCTCAAAAAAAAAAAAAAAAGCCATTCTATAGATAATTTGTTATTTTGCCTATTAAATTTAATTAAAATTTTTTTTTTCAATTTTTATTATTTCTTATTAGTCTTCATGTTTTTATTTCAGTTTTTATTATTCTACATAGATTTATCTAACTATAATAATAACTGATATTATCAACTACGTTTTTTTTTTACAAAAGGCTAAGACAATACTTATTGACTACTAACTTTAAAACCTGGTTGTTGCTCATCGGCCGTTTGAAGTTTAGCTGCATTGTTTGCCAAGTCAATATTTAGGTGTTTCACAATATCGGAGTTGTCATCGTTTGCCAGTTGGACGCGATATACGTTATGCGGAGACTTTTTAGGGCCATCGACAGAACTAAAGTGTTGTATTATTCCGTGTCGACCATGGACAATTTCAGCTGGTACATAAGACCCAAGACCTTGTGGATTAGTCGACGGTATAAACTGTACCAGTTCTGGCGAACTTGTTTGTTGGCGATTCCGATGATGCAATTGGCCTTGCTGTGGCTGTCCCTGCTGGAAGTGTTGACCACGTTGTGGATATCCTTTGGGAGCTGCTATGGGCTGCCAAAACTCTTGATTATTAAAAATATCTCCTTGCTCCTGATGACCCATTGGAGACTTGTCGTCTAATTTAAGTTCAAAAGTTCCGGCATGCTTTTGTTGATGATTGTGCACACCTGTATGTTTATGGCTATGAGATGATTTACCAATATGTCCATGATCATGAGCTACTTTGCCACTATGTTTGTGTTCATGTACTACTTTACCCGAATGAATTAATGGAATCCCCTTTTCGGCAATTTTGTATGTATGAATATGATTGACATGATGAGGAATTTCTTTGGGTACCACTATAATGATCCGATGATGTCTAAAATAACATTGAGATATTTCGTAATTGTCGTGAATAAGCTACGAAAATACGATTTAAAAAAATATTGAAGTGTATAAGTCGTAAAATAAATTTGATTAGACGATAGCTTCAAAAAAGAAAAACATTTTTATCGGACAATAAAACACTTTTGAACTGGAGAATTATTAAATGTCAATTAAATTGACCATGTCACTTTTTTAAATATTTCGAGGAAAACTATTTCATTTTGATTGTAATAAAAATCTAATAATTTTACTTACTCGTGATCTTCAGCGGCAACATTGTCCTCAATTAAACTTGAAGGTTCCTTAATTTTATTCCCACAACATAAACTTGCTAAAACACAGCTAACTATCAGTTCACGAAGTAGTTTGTTGTTCTAAAAAATTTAACGATAGTTAAAAAAAAAGGTTTAATATAATTGAATTATATAAAATGGATTAATATAATCCATGTTGATTATATTATAAATTACACAAATGATTTTACTACTAACTGTAAAAGAAAATTGATTAGCGTAAAAAATAATAAGCAGTAAAATTTATGTTTTATATGTTAATTTTTCAAATTGGATAATAACAATCTCAATTAATGATAGAGAAATTCTCCCTTAATAAATTTTCAAGGTATCTGTCAGAAAAAATAAAATTAGAATTAAAAATAGTATACATAAATATTTTTAGAAGGTTTCAAAAATTTTAAATATATAGAACATTTAGAAAATTAATAACTGTTTGGTGATTCTTATAGTTAAAATAAATTTAAGCGACTCAATAATTTTTTAAAGAGTATAACAATGTATGATCAATTATAAAACAATACACAGTTAAAAGTACAGTGCAAAATGTACGGGAAAAACTTAATTTGACTCGTCCGATGTCCCGGTTAGTTAGATAAAGTAAACTATTAGAGGAAATTTTTGTTTGAGAAAGGAAAAGTAATAATATATATATTTTGTTTTCAATTAATTAATGAATTTTTATCTAAAAATAAAAGTTCATGAACAATTTATTGATCTATAATTTTTTTAATTTATTAGAACAGTTCCTGGAATTTATTTGATATAATATTTTTTTTTTATTAAATAATTATTTATTTACTTAAAAAATTAAAAGTAAACTGTATAAAAACTATATACGTTACCATTTTAATTTTTTTTTCTGAATTTTTTTTATCACTTTGAGAGTTATTATCACTGAATAAAAGAATCTGCTAGCTAATTATACAGAAGAATTAAAATAATTCTCATAGTACGACGTAGTCGAAGGATTTAAATAACAAATAATAAATTTTCGTAGTCTTTTGGTTGACAGGAAAATATCATGTGATTGAAGTCAGTTAATGTTTTCTTTTTTAATAAACAATAATAGGAAATGCGGGGAGTGGTGTAGTTAAACGCCCTCTGTGAAAGATTTCCACTATTATTTTGAATGGAAAAGTTACGCAAAGACACCGTGAAAAATTGATACATAATCTCCCGAAGGCAGTAGTAATTTGGATTAATATCGCAGTCAGTGGTGTTTTCATAAAAAAAAAAAAACAGTATACTCTAATAGATATTTACAAATCCCAAATGGAAGACACATGCCATTTTTTATTAGGTTCCTATATTTTAAAGGGATGGTGATAGTTGATGTACAGGGATTGATTTATCTATTAGTGGGTCCCTTATTAATTTCTCCGACTTTGTTTGGAAATTCATCACCCAAAACAAATATAAAATATTAGTGGCCATTATTATTTTAACTATATAGAGTGTTCTGTAAGGAAACTAGTCAATTGTAACAAACAATGGGAATAATAGAAACTCGTTTTCTCACTTACTGAACACCCTATGTAAAAATCAAAGAAAAAAAAAACAACATTTTTTATATTATTAATACTTACTTAAAATGTTATTTATAATAACCTAAATTTAATTAAATATTGCTCGAGAAAACTTGAATGTAACCCCTGTCAATAAGTGGTGTGATAAATGTCAACTTTTATTTTTTAATCTTTAAAATAAAAAAAATTCATTTTAAAACATAAATGATTCTTTTATGAATATTTTAATGCATTTTATTACTAATATATTAATTGTCATTATTAATTATCATCGTTATATGATTATATACAATATAATATAACCTGAATTTTACTTCAATGTTTACCCCATTTTTGTTAATCAGCTAAAATTGTATTTTATTTTTTATAATCAATGTTATGTAACCAATTTTTGACGGGTCCCCTCTGCCGAGAAAGTTCTGTACAAATATACTAAATATCCTTTCATAAATATAGCGCTGTTGGAGTTAAAAATAAAAATAATAATTACATAATGTTTTTACAAAATAGAGAGGGGGGCAATATATTTTTTTATTATTAAGGTATACGAACGTATAAAATAGTAAAGTGAGTATTTGCAGTATTTTTATAAGATATACGTTATTTTTTAAAATTAAAACTGAATATACTTGTATATATTACTCAAAACACCACTGAATAGCATGATAATGAAAAAAAAGGCACTATTTATATGACACCCAAATAAAATTACATTTAAGATATTGTCATTCCAGTGCAAAAAATAAATAGCTCATTAAAAAGTATTATATATTAATCTAATTAGATAATAGTTGTTCTTACTATATTTATTAACCAATATTATTATTTTTTTAACTTTGAGTATAAAAAAGAGAGAAATAATGGTATTGTACAAAAAGCAATCAATCCAAATGTAATATTTTACTTCATAACAGAGGCGTTATTTCAGATTTTACCAAAACAGGACAAATTATTGATATTCATTATTTCACATAGCCGCGAGCAATTCATTTTCTAACAACTCAACCCTATTACACAATTACAATAATAATTAAATACATTTTCAAGAACTATTAAAATCATAAAAAATTATTATAGAGGGTGTTCAGTAAGTAAGAAAACAGGTCAGTTCTTACAAACAATGAGAACAATAGAAACCCGTTTCCTGACCTACTGAACACTCTGTATACAATGTACAGAATGTCCCACCGTGATTTATTAATTTGAATATTAATTTATACAGTCAAATTAGACACTCTGTATATTTATTTCATATGATTTAGAATATATAATTTTATATAGGCATTCACATGGTTTCGTCTTGAGAGGAGATATACATATAGTCATTTTTTACTAACCCTACCACAATACAACTTCACCATATATTTATTTTTATCACGGGGAGGTGTTCTACTCCCATGCTGTCCCGCGAAAACGTCCATGATTTTATAATATTTTCATTATGTTTATAATATAATCATTTTTGTATTAATTTTATACATATAAATTAATTGCATAACAAATTTCAGTTATAATCAGTTAAAACTGCAGCTGTTAAGAGTCTTAACTTAAGACCAGTCATAGATACGAAATACACATAAACAGTTACAGCATATAATGTTAGTAACTAAGGTATAAACAAAATAATCGGAGAATATTTTATTTTATTTTAAGGCTCAAGCTGTTTAAGATGCAATGTTTCGTATTTAACGGAATCATAAGAATCTGTGTTATGACTGATTGTGATAACAAAGAGAGAGACTGTTAAAATCATATTTCTTTTGTCTTTTTAATAATTAGATATAACATAGTTATTATGTATATTTTTCATTGAATAAAAATTTATTTTCACTGCATTTCTTAAATTATTATAAATTGGATTTTAACAAGGAATAGGCTTGCTCAATACATGGACCAATTAGTAAGAGTGCGGTTTACCGGCTCTAGTTCTCATTAATAATTAGTCTGAGGAAAATGCCTTAGTTGCTAACCCTATTTTATTGACATTTTCACTAATTTAATTATTAAGTTAATTCTTTAATGCATAATTTTAAAATATACAGAATCAAATTTCGTCTTACTTGTAGTTTCCAATATGCATTATAAAACATTTTTTTATCTGGTTTAAAATTAAATATTTTGTTAGGTGGTTGTATAAACTCCCTACAATTAAATTTGCCCTTGTGGGCCTCCTTAAATTATGCTAGTGATTCTAACACAATAGGCGTAATTAAGGTTGGACAAGGGTATAGAGCCCCCTGAAAAAAATTATATGGTAATGATACAATGTTTCTTTTTGTTTGAAAGAGGTAGAGAAAATTTCCTTATGTATACCCCTGTTCAGTGGATTATTTAAGAGTAACTAAAAAAGGCAATAACCCTTGATAAAACATTTTATGGAGTAAATTATCTATTATTAACTTTAAGGGACAATATTATTATGAATAAATTATACCCAGGGCAGTTAAAACATATGCCTTGATTCCCTCAGAACAATATTCTAATTGCAATTTGAAACAAAAACAATATCGAAACGATACTTTCATGATAAAAGTGTAACTTTAATATCATCTCATTTGTTTTGTAATAATATACTTAATAATGTAATATAATATTTAAATTAATCCTTCAGAATAAATGTAATTTTAGCAAGGACAGAAATATTCACTTTTTTTTTTTTTTGTCGATAACATATGCTTATTATACATTTATATATTAAACAAAATGCAAAATCCGGTTGGCTATTCCCAGAAATTTTTCACTTAAGTAATAACGTCAATTCAAATATTAATTATTAATCATTATTACTAATGAATATATATTGATTTTAATCTTTTAAAAATTAATGTGTAGAGATATATGCAGATATTTTTAATTTAATTATTATATCATATCATATTTTGGGACGATTCTGTGAACTCAACTAGCCAAATTTTTTAGTAATAACTAAATCTAATAAGCACCATGAAAAGTACATTATATTTACAAATGGCTTCAGTGAATAATTTTAACCCACCTTAAGATGTCGAAAAATTATAATTTGCGCCATCAACAGTTTTGAAATTGTATTTTGCATCATTTTATACATGTAAAAAATGTATTTGCGCTATACTAAACCCTATTGTAAATATAATTCGCACCAGATTTTATGTAGGTATAGAAATAAATAAAATATTTACTACCATAATGGCATTAAGTTATTGTTTGTTTAATAAAAATTAAAATAATATAAATTTAATAAAAATATGACAACATAAAATAAATACAAATTAGATATTCAAATTCTTTGTTAAAATGGTCATTGAAATTTTTTGGCCTCAAAATACAAACTAAATAGTGTTTTGATTGGTTGACTATCCGCATTATAAGTTCTTACATATTTTTTGTACTTTTAGTTAAAAAATAATACTACTGTTTTTCTATACATTTTTCTTGTAGTCTTTCAAAGGACTAGTGTAGAAATTTAAGATGTTCAATGAATGGAACTAAGATATTCAGTAATACAGCAAAGAATTTCTAAGTTCCAAAACAAGCATTCATTGTTATGTTGTTTCAAATTTGTTAGCAAAAAAAAAAAATAAAAACTAATCTTACATAGTGTACTACAAGTATTGTTTGAATATTAATTTTGAACATTAATAAGAATAGAATATTGTTACACATTAAATGGATATTACATTAAAATAACAGCAGAATCGCGGTTTCTGAGCCAAGCTGCGTTTTTATGGGTTACACAATTATTATAATAGTATGTAATCGTTATCCGCCATTCTTGTAAGCTATAGATAAATGATAAATCTTTAGAAACCTTTGTAATAGTACTTCTTTTATCAAATCATATATAATCCATTCAATATAAACACACTACAAAATGCATTCAAATAACATCATAAATTATAAGCACGAGTGGGAATTCTGAGTTTTTCTAGCTCTGGTTTAAAAAAGAATAAAAATTTTCAGTTACATTTTTTATTTTGGTTTTTAGAAGATTTTTAAATTAAGAATCTGATATATACGGTTTTAAAATAATTTCTTGAAAAAATAAGTACTAGGTTATTTTAATTCAATGATAGAAGGTTGGGTATAATTTTTTTTAATTTTGTACAGTATTGCTTGCCTTACACCTTCAAAATAATAAAATAAAATTTTGATGTGACATACTTAAGTAACAGTAGTTAAATTTCATGTTGTCTTAAGACTAAAATATGAAGAATAGTAGTCTTAGTACCTAATATACAACCATGGACAGGGTAGTTTTAATTAACAATAGGGGAAGCTTGGGTAAATCGGATAGATTTGATGCAGATTAGCTAATATTTTGGGCGTATGTAATTTGCGGCACGATTGATAACTATCTATAGTATCTAATCCGCGCTACTTGTACTTAATTTTAAAATAGGTAATTAGAAAAATGATTCATTAACTAGATAGCTTTTACATACAAATTATCCTAATTAAACGATTGAAACAATAATGTAGAAAAGACATTAAGTTCTAAAAAAATCGAACTTTTGTTTTTTCACAGAAAACATTCTAATAAAAGTTGTTGTGATGCTTCTATATTCTACAAGCATTACATTTAGTATTAAATTCAAATCATATAGTAATTGTGCTGAAACATTAATACTAAAAAAAGTTTATATATAACTCATTATAATTTTAATTACTACATTAATCTTTAATAACATTATATTATCACTACGTCAAACATTTTTTTAATTTAAATAATCAAACTTAATTAATATAAATTTAAAAAGAAGTGGAAACGGCTATCTTAAAAAATAATTTGTATACCAACCAACTTTGATTATTTTTTAGGTGACAACTATTAAAAAAAATTCTTAGGTGAAATGTAAGAAATTGCTAAAAACTACCCATTATTGTTGCTTTATTGTGATTGATATCAATTATATCAGATGATTAAAATACATAAATAATTGGTATAATGATTCATTACTTTTATTAATAACAGTGATGTTGGTAAAATGTAATTTTGATTATAAGAATGTGTCAATTAACACATTTTACATGAATCATTGAAAAAAAATTACCAATTCACATTAAGCCAAACTTATATAATATTAAATATAAACAAGATGAATTTTAATTCGCATTAAAATTAAGATCACACCTAGAAAAAGTCGATAAGAATGATTTCAATGAAACTACTATTGATAGGAAATTTACATAAACAATAATACTATCACCGATTTACCCAATGAAACCAAAAATAATTTCAATATACTAAGGTTAAATTTTCTTTACAAAAATTTACAAAGGTTAGATCTACTCTAAAATCATTCCATGCATCATCTATGATACTAACATGAAAAATTATGTTATAACAAGAATGCATGAAACTTTGAAAACATTATTTATAAACAAAAAACCTTTTCCAAAGTTTTAATTCATGTGATTGATACAAATGTCAAATTAAAATGCCATAAAAGTGTGATAGTGTCAATTATTGAAAATATTTTGAGTCTTTAGACTATACCTCACAATTAAAATAAGATGATTAAAGGTATAATAGCTAGAAAAAAACAATTAGTTAATTTATTACCTATATAAAGTCAAATTTATTAAGTAAGTTTTAATTATAAGTTAATTAATTATAATGTAGAAAGACTTACAAATAAAACTTTTTTAAATACAATAGGTAATGCATTATATATACTGTATTATTCTAAAGTTCAAAACAAATATTTGTCTTAATGAACACTCGTTTATAATTAGATATTCATATATAAAAAAATTGAGTTAAAGCTTACCTACAAAATATTATTACACACACATGTATCAAATAACTGTAGTAATAATTTTTTTGAAGAAATATTTATAACCCAAGAAATGTCACAAAAAAAAAAAAAAGTACACAGTTGAGAGGAATGTAGTGGATGAATTAAGCACGTTCACCACGAATACGCCTGGCCAACTGGATGTCTTTAGGCATAATGGTGACACGTTTTGCATGAATAGCGCACAAGTTAGTATCTTCAAACAAACCAACTAGGTATGCTTCACTGGCTTCCTACAATATCAAAATAAAATTTAATACTATAGATTAAATAACATATAAAACTAATTAATACTAAAAATTTAAGCATAGTACAATTAGTCTTTTTAAAATGTAGACATTACATATTATTGATTGCAACAATAAAATATGACATACAACTAGATTATCATGAGGTATAAAATGAAAAAAAGAAAAGGATATAAAATAGTCAATAATTTTATAAAAAAATCTAAATTTTTTAATAAAAAGTTGGAAGAATATCTGAAATTATATAATTTAAATAATACATTTGAATTACAAACCTGAAGAGCTCCAATAGCTGCACTTTGGAAACGCAAATCTGTCTTGAAGTCCTGAGCAATTTCTCTTACCAAACGTTGGAAAGGCAATTTACGGATTAACAACTCAGTAGACTTTTGATAACGACGAATTTCACGAAGAGCTACAGTACCAGGACGATAACGATGCGGTTTCTTTACACCACCAGTAGATGGTGCACTTTTACGTGCTGCTTTGGTTGCTAACTGTTTACGCGGAGCTTTTCCTCCAGTTGATTTACGTGCAGTTTGCTTTGTACGAGCCATGACAACTAAAATGGGAATATAAATAAAATTACCAAATAAAATTCTTAACTTAAAAATGTTAAAAGTTATAACTTGAAAAAGATAAAGAGTTAATATTTATAGAACCTCAATAAGAGTTAAAATTGAAAATAATTGATTCATTAGTTTTAATACACAATAAAATAACTGCAAGTATATTATTATTAAATTAACAGCAAATTGTATCATTCATGAATATAATTTACAAATTTAGGACATAATTATTGAGAATACTAATTGCGATATAATAATTAGTTCAAATATCTGGAAAAATAATAAACAAAAAATACAACGAGAGGGTCCTGAAATAATATATTTATGTTAATGATCAAATTAGTTTTTTAGGTAAACTATATAATATTAACGAAAATGAAATAAGTTAAATTAAAGACTCCAATAACATTATTTATTATTTAAAATAATTGATTACTTACAGATATGGATTTACACGATTTAAGAAAGAATGATTACACAAAAAACTCAACGACCACACAAAAACAAAGTACAGACTTCTAATGGCGTCACTCTTGTTTGTAGCCCGTTTCCCTGTCCTTACAATCGTAACGTACACGGGTCAACGTCATTGATCGTCGGATCAAAAACATATCGGTGGTTTTCATTGGTTTATAGAAGATGTAACACGCTTAATGATTGGACAAAATAACGACTAACGTCATTGGCCAAATTTAATCATTGCCGCCAACACGAATATTTGCCGCGTTTTTTATAATCGCAAGTTTATCAAAAGGCGGGAATATCATTTATGATAAATAGATTTGTAAAAGCATATTGAGTGGGATAAGTCATCATTCACTAACTTTAGGAATATTTAAAGTTCATTTAAATAATTTAATTTTAATTGGATAATACTTGTCATTTTATTTAAATTCAAAGTTAAATAGTAATTAATAACTCAATTTTTAACCATTTTTTCTTAAGTTATTAAAAAATATGCGTATCTTTGCTGTATTATCGATAAATACTTTTTAATAATGTTCACGATCTTGTTCAATATTTTAAAAGTTGAAAATTTTGCAAATTTCCACAAAAAATGTTTATAGCATCCAGATCGATTTCTTAATAACGTTATCAATCTGACAAAATTAATATTATTCTTCATTATTACAGAAATAAAAGTTTTTGAAAGAATACTATTTTTATAGTTAATAAAATTCAGTTAAATATTCTAAATAATTCTTGTCAAAAGCATAATTAGGATATGGTTTGACTTAAATAAAATTTCATTGTCTGTCTAGATGAAAAAAAAGTTTTACCTTAACTATGTACTTACTTTTATTTTGGAAAATCTATCCATTCATCACTCATTGAATTACACATCCAATTCTTGTAATTGAATAGCTTAATTAAAAGTTAAAATAGAACAATTCATTTTTATGCAATGGGAAGAGGATAGCTCAATTAAATATTATATAAAAAAAAAGAATATCTTTGATTAGATCAATACATACACTTTTAAAACCTAAAAGTATTTAAGGTATACAAGGTGTATCAAAAACATTCACTATTATACAATTATAATTTATTTTTTGATAGACCATAAATGCCCTCAACAATTTCAATGACTGTGTCACATGCCCTCTGAACCTCAACTTAAATATATCTACGACTATATGGTAAAGTGTAACTGAATATAACCTCACTTCTAACATAGACTTCATTATAAAATGTTAATATATCTTGTAAAAAATAACGTCATAAAACAAAAATATTTTTCAAGTTAATTTCCAAAATTCCGCCTTGAAAGTTTTTTAAAAATTAGTGTTAAAAACTTAATCTTTTAAAAAGAACTCCTAGTTAAGGAAAAATTTTTTATTAAATCAAAATAAAGGTTATAATTTATAAAAAATATTCTGTATTAACAATGAAAAAAAATGAATTTTTCTTAAAATAAATTAATTGACTCAATACAAAAATAAACAAAATAACTAAAATTAATGAACAACTAAATTAAGTATTAAATAAATATAAAAAAAAAACAAACAACTTACAGATTAATAAACATAAATTGTAATTAATAACTACCTATTCATTAATTATTATTTTTATAATAAATGTTTCCTCTTTCTATCATTCAAAAATTTAATAAGACACTAATTTTTTTTAATAGGTGAACATTTAAGTTGAACTGAAGGACATAAATCTTTACATAAACATGATACACAGTGAGGTCTTACTGGGCGACAAATTGTTTGTCCAAATCCGACTAACATGTGGTTTACTTCACGCCAAAGATCTTGAGGCAGCCAAGCTTCTAATTCTTCACGTGTTTTTTCTGGAGTTTTTGTATTTTTCTTAACCCAGCCCAACCTATTACTTATTCTATGAACATGAGTATCAACACCTGTAAATCAACAATTTTATAGTTTATAATTTGTATTCCTAAATCTGAAAGGTTGATATTTTTAATTATGTAAGGAAAATAATATTTTACATTAAAATGCAGTTATTAAATTTAATCAATTAATTTTAACAAATAAAAATAAATAAAACATTTAAGAAATAATCCTGAATTTCGTAGAATCGTATGATCTTGCTGTGATTAATATTTATCTTAGAAAGAGGGAAGAAGATCATAAAATTTATAAAAGGGACAGTAATAGATTACAGATTATTTATTTTATGTGAAAGAGAGTAAGTGTAAAGCGATTAAAAGATTGTAAAATAATCATAGGCGTGAGTGTAACTATACAACATAAATTGATGGTAATGGAATTTTGGTGTAATGTGAAGAGAGTATACAAAAACAGAAGGAGAATCAAAGATCTGGTCATTGAAAGGGAAAAAAAAGAATTTTTAAAGACGGTGTAAGAGAGGACGTTGTGGAATATCGGGAGAGACATAACTGATGTGAGAAGATTTGTTAGTTGTGTAAAGAATACTGCAAAGGAGATTATTGGTGCGATTAGGAGAAGAATGCCCAGAAACAAAGAAAGTTGGTAATGGGATGAGGATTTTAAGAAAATTATAGAGAATAATAAAAAGCAGATCAAAGTATGGCAAAAGAACAAAATGAGAGAAGATTGAATGGAAAATAAACACTTGTGTAAAGAAACATGTATTTAATAATTTTAATATAATACAAATGCAGATTTTTCAGACTTATCTAATATGCTTATAAATTATCCTTCACCACGAAAGAAAGAAGTGGAAACATAGACTTCAGAATTTTTCCAGCAAATCCTTAATATTAATTTATATGCATTTTGACATTATTCTTTACTATTTTTAGTTAGAGTATAATAACAATAATTATTAGTTAATTATTGTTAAATACAGGTCATTTTTTAAGAAAAAGAATCAACAGAAAATTACTTTTTAGATATGGCAAAGAACATTATGAATAATGTTATAATGAAAAATATCCATGTAAAAAAAAAGTAGTCATTTGTCCATATAAAGAACTGCTAATTAATAACATTAAACTTAATAATAAGATAACGCTATAATAAATTTAAATATATATATATATATCATATAAACATAAAATAAAATATGAGTTTTCTTTTGGGAATAAATAAAATCTCTTGTCATAAATTAAAAAAAAACTTTTCACCTTAAATATCTTACTTTTTACCCCTTAAAATTACATTAATTAATTTTTTTTAATAACAACATACATATAAAATTGGTTTATAAACAAAAAATAATCTTGATAAGCTAATAATTAGCCAAAAATAATTTGTAAACTATTATTTGAGGAATTATTATGGCCTATACTTAGGCGAGAAGAAAATATTTCTAAGAAATTTCCAATGAAAATAATAAAAAAAGCCAGGAGTTTTTAAATAATTATATTTTAAGTATTTTTCAGTATAGGTTGAACATAATAAAATGCTAAAACTCATAATGTTATTTAGGTGCCTTCAAATACAATTAGTACTATGAAAGACTAGTAATTTGCTCAATAGCTGTTTCATATTTGTATTTTTTTTTATATTTTCATTGAAATTTATTGCTATTTTTGAGTGAATTGTGATACCTTTGATAGAAGCTAAAGCACACTCTATTATTATATGTCTATGTACAATGCAAATAAAGAAGAATAAATTATATTTTTCAATGATTTTAATATAATAAGATTAACTTTCTAGTCACTATAACATGATAGATAAAACAAAAATTCAAAATGATTAAAAAGTTTTATAATAAAGTCTAATTTAAATCTCTATTAAGTTACAATTCTAGTAGCATGCTACTCTATTTTTCTACAATTATTTTTGTAGAAAATAGTACATCGGCATTACTAAAAATATAGCAAACTACTATAGTAATACAGTGTCTGCATTAAGATATAAATAAAAAATATTTAATTTAAGAAATCTAAATTAGCAAATTAGGAAAGAAAAATTTTTATTTAGCTAATCATAATTTTGATTATTTATTATAATTACCAATTCCAGTGACCTCATCCCATGCACAACTCATACAAAGATGAGCCATTTTAGGTCCAACTCCAGGAAGTTCACATAAGCCTTTTATAGTATTGGGTATATCACTATTATAACGATCTTTCAATAACTGAGTGGTGCGTTTGATATAATCTACCTTTCTCTATAAACAACATAACATATAACAATCTTATAGCTTTTTGAATTAAAAAAATATTTATATTATGAAAGAACTTCAAACAATTGGATAAATAATTTATGAAAAATACCAATACCAAGACTGGGCATAAATGCAGTAAATAGTTAAAATTAAGTTAAATGTTTAGTAAATTTAATTAAGTATAATAAGTAGTTACTTTTTTGAGAATTTTAACATTTAATTCAATTATTTTATTAATTTTGTTATTTTACATAACAATATTGAAAGTTAAATATTTATTTGGATATTTGACAACACTATACATTTTTTATAATAAAATAATAAAAAAAAAATTATGCAACTTTTTTGTTCAGTTATTTTTAACTAAACTAAGTTAAAAATGTAAATTGATTAGCTTTTAACATTTCAAATTTAACTAAACTTAGCAATTTAAAAAATATGTGTTAAATTACCCAATCTTAGTATTTTTACATTAAAAAGTTGCCAACCTATAATTTCATATTCTAATGTTTTATTTTAACTGGTCATTTAAATGTTATCAGTAATATTCTAACACATTAGGATATTGATTTTATAAAACATATTTTAATAGTTAATTATTTTAATGTAAATAAAATTTTTTTTTAATTAGTTGGCATGTCTTGTAATAGTGCACTATTCATCTATCAGTTTCACCTATGACTTCTCCACATACCATTGATTAGCATTTAAAAAAAATTATATATTATTATTATTTATTTTTTGTTTGTCAATTGCAATTATTGTAGTATATGTAATTACTATTTAAATTTACTTAAAGAACAATGATGTGAAATTAGTATTAAATATCCATACCCACATACTATTACATAATATTCCCTAGTAAAACATGTTTTAAATAATTTGATTTAAAAAAATAATAATTACTTTCCAGAATCCAACAGGATAAATAAGTTTCCCTAACTGTTCATCAGATGTTTTTAGAATATTATCTATTGTTAGTCCATGTTGTTTTAAACGTTGCATTGCTGCATAATTAATTTCATCTTTAGTTTGACTCGATAACATTAAAGACACCAATATATGGAATCTAATAACCTATAATAAATTTTTTCATATTAATAAAAAATTGTTTAAACTTGTTCAAATTTGACATAACATTAATTTATATATAATCTGGGAAAAATGTATCTAGATTTTAGAACAGTGAACAGTATGCAATAAACTGGGATATAATATGTAAGAAAAATTTTTATACTTTAGGAGCTTCATTCTTATCTGCAGCTTGGTCACATCCCATTTCATCAACAGCAGCAGGATATTCTTTGCGCATAATTCTGATTTGATCAATAACCTGCTGCCAATTTGGAGGTTGCCATTTTGGACCATTTTCTTCTTTTACATCAGAATGAGATTCTATAGTGAGATGTTTTCTAAATTTTTTAGATTTTTTTGTATCAATTGTATCCTTATTATTATTAATTTTGGACGAAAGTGTTCGCTTAGTTCCTATTCTTGTTGACATTATATTTTTAATCAATTGATTTTTATAAGTAGAATGGCAGAATAATTTAAAAATATATACATCAATAAATGCACTACCTATATTATATAAAATTATGTCACTCTTGACAAGGAACAAGTAGTTTTGACAATTTAAAATTCGGAATTAAGTTTTTTAACTTAACAGCAATAAAATTATAGAAAATTACTCTCGAAGGAATAAGAATTGAACTAAAAATTATTCTGAACAAAATATATATTGTCATGAAATTATTAGTAATTAAAATTAAGTTTCAGATGATCTAGTTAAGAGACAAGAACTTAAGCCTAAACATTTTCAAATGAAACGTTTCGGCAGTTTTAGATAACAGCATAGATTAAATATATAAATAGGCAACGCCGTACACAATTTTGGCAGTTCAATTTTTAACATAAATGGGTGCAGGAGATTATGTTGATAGATAGCATAAATTTCAAGCGCCCTTATTGGTTTCAATAAACGTGGTATTTTAAATTTTTTAACAATCGTTAAATTAATGTATGTATATTATTAAACAGTGATATAACATTCACTGTTTAATGCCTGTTAATTGCACTTTAATTTGATATGATATAAAGATTTTTTATGATTTTAACCATTTGTAATTATTTTTCATTGGTATAAGTCTAATAATCTAATTATTCAAAAAATGAATTAATTCCAAAAACCAACACACCTGTTTGTAATAACAAAATAGTTAAAATTTGTCAATAACTGTACACTACATATACATCATTGCCCGTCCGCTACGGCGTGTTCGCATTGCCGTCCGACTTACTTAAAATTTTTATTTGGAACTAGCCGCGTAATCATGTCACTTCACTACCGCCAACTGCTTTTTTGCTATTAACAATGATAACTCATACCGGTCATATGATTACCAATGCACGTGTCCTACCTTTCAGTCAAATTCCTTCCGGTGATTCACTATCTGTCTAGTAATGTTCTCCCACTGTTATTTCTCTGACTGCAGATTTTTATTATCGTCTTTTTACTTGTGATGGGAAATGTCTAACTATTCGATAGTTGTCCACTATTCGATAGTCATTCAAAAGCTATTCGATTAGTAAAAATATTCGATTGTTTTAATTATATATTTTTATCAAATGATAAAAAATAGTTCAATAACAACGCACATGTGATGACATGTACGTCGTTATTGAACTATTTTTCATTTCTATTATTCTAAATAAAGATATAAGAAATTTCTCATTAAAACACAGCGGGTCCCTATACGACACGTCCTTGGTAGTAACTAAACGAATAATTTGTTCTGGTAATAGTTGAGTACCTTTAGTCTTATTACTTTTGACAGTCGTGGAAGTACCCCTTAGTAGTGTTCAAAGAAAAAAAACTTTAAGATCGGTGCTTATTGAGTTACAAGCATTTAAATACTTAGACGGGATGTGGAACGCAGGTGGGTACAATGTATATGTATAGTGCATACTTTGCCTGCATTACATTTTTACTCTATGTAATTAAATACTTATATGTAATTCAAAAAGTACTTTTTATCGACTTATCAAAATTATTTATAAGAAAAGAGCTAAAAAATATTGAAATTTAAAAAAAATGAAGCAAAATACTCGTTGGATCAATAGTTATTATAGTAGTTAAGAAGTGGTTACTAACTTAATCTAATGAAAATAAAAAGTTAATTTGTATATAATGTATAATGTTTATAAATTTAAACTAAGTCATATGGTTTGACACGCTTTAAATGCCTTAGATCATTGTAATTGTCCATGGTTGAATTGCCGCTAGGTTTTCATAGTTTCCAACCTCGTTATAATATATGTTATACTATGTAACATAGTATGGCATGTTATGCCTACGAGTAAACCAAGTGACTTTATATGCAACGGTCGGCAACATCATATTACGATGAATTATGTAATTTTTGTCTAATCAGATAGTCTAAGTTTGACATAGAGATTGTACAATAATCTCTATGTTACAATTACTAGTACAATCCTACAATTGATACCTTTAGTCTAAATAGATTTTATAATCGCTATGAATACTATACGTTTGTTCTCTAATGATATTTTAGAGTGTTTTTAAATTAACAAATATAGTTTACTTAGCTTTTCTTTTATTAAATCAAAATATTAAGAATTTCTTTTTAACTAAACTAAGATATTTAACAATAATAATATATTTTTAGTCATAATTGTTTTGTCAGATTCAATTTGGAGAGGGTGAGGCGATATAATAGTTTGCCTTCTGTATTTTTATTAGGGAGGATTTGTGTGACATAATATATTTTAACGGCGAAGCTAATTTTAAATACTTTGGATTACATTGTTTCGATAGAAAAATTTTAAATTATATTTTCCGAATCAAAACATAGCACGGAAAATAATAGGAAACGTTTACAAACATAATATATTTTTTGTTAATATTTTTCTTTTAATTTCATACGTTATAATTTTATACTATTGTTAATATTTTTCAATTTAAATTACATATTTATTGTAAAAATGTTATTAAGCGTAGAAATTAAAAAATATATAATAAAAAAAAAGGTATTTTTAATAAATAGTAGTATTATTTTTTTAAACTTTAAATAACACCTACATATGTAAGACAAACGATAGATTTTACTGATTTATACGTTAAATAAACTGAGGTTATTCTAATTGAACTTACTATTTTCGAAAAAACCTTTACAATTTTAAAAATATTGAAAAATGTCTCAACAATTGCAGTAATAAGACCAAATAATGATATATATATATATATATTATATTTTAAAATCGCAATAACTAAAAAAATACTTGAATTTAAATGAACTTTTCATTGGTAATATACAGACAATTATTTATTTTTTGGTATACTTTTATAAAAATCATATAGAAAAATGTCGCTGTTGAAGATATGTTTATATCTCATAAAAAACATCAAATTAAATATTTTAAAGTTCTATAAAATTAAAAAAATACTTTCACAATGACGTATTACTATTATGAAATTGTTAAATAAAGAAATTGCCAATTTTTTCCAAGTATTTTTTTTCTTAATTACAACGAAGTGTTTTACAATAGTGGCATTAATCATTGTCAAATATTTTGGTAACTATGATGTAGGCTTGTTACGTTTTAAATACTAATCGTTTAATTGTTAAATAAATTGTTTATTTTTGTTTTAAACAGATTTAAAAAAATATATATATATTTTTTAACAACTGTGATACAGATCCTTAATACATGTTCCGACTGAACTGCCTTTTTTTTTGTTCCTAGTTCTACAAAATCTGTAATTTAATATAGGTTTAAAAACACAGAATTTTCAAAACATTTTAAAAAGACTAGTTGAAAATACTTAGTTTTTATATAATGATTACAATTTTAACCCCCTCCCCTTGTAAAAGAAATGGTCTGATTTAAAAAAAGACACGTCTAAAGTTTTTTTTAAAAAAATTTCTTTTGTATCCACAAATTTTTTTGTAAGTTTTAATAATATAAATTTGTAACAGCATACTGTAAAAATACAAATTATTTATAAGAAAATGATAAGGTGTAATTCTAAATTTGATTTCTGGTAATTTTCTATTTTTTTGTTTATAGCCCTTTTAACAAATACAAGTAGTTGGTTAGCTACAAAAAAATATACGTTGATTATTTATTGACGGGATGAAATATTATTTTTTAACTTCAAAATTTGGAATACTGAATTTACAAAATAAAGATATTAAATAAAAAATAACACAGTACTTATAAAGAACCTGTTTATTTATTTTCTTTTGTACAGTTTTACTTTATATGGTTTTGAAGTAACGAGTATACCACAATTTAATCCACTTGGTAACTCTTCCATTTTTATTTCAAAATCGTGTATGAGATTTGCAAACATTAGGAGTATAAATCTTTGAGCTAAAGATTCGCCTGGACATCTCCGTTTACCTAAAATGAATATTATTAAAAATTCAATTATTATTATATAAAGACCAAAAAAAAAAAAATGAATAAAATAGACAATTTTCAAAAGAGCAGTTCTTGTAATTTTTTTACGATGACTCTCATATTAGAAATTACAATAAGATTATAATTTTTTATGCGATTAAAACGTTTCAGGTGCAATTCTCAACTTAAATTCAGTCTCATTTCCTCATGATAAAATTATTTGACTTATTTCCAGTCAGTTGAATTCCTTCTTTAAATCTTACCATGTCCAAAAAAATACAAATTATTATTTTTTTTGAGATTGCCATTCTCGTCTATGAATCTTTCTGGTCGAAATTCTTCAGGACTTTCCCATTTTAAAGGATCATAATGAATTGAATATAAACTCATTAAAACTGTAGAATCCTGAAATTAAAATTATGTGTAAATATAATAATATTTGTTATTATTGTGAATTGTCTATAGTTTTCTCCGAAATTAGATTTATCCCTTTAGGGATAAAAAATTTTTATTTTAATTTTCTTTAATATGAATCCTATTTTTAGTTTGTTTATGTGATAGAAAAACAAAATACAAAAATGTTGCTCTTATAATATTTTTTTGTCCGACGAAAAATTCTTCCGTTATTGATTGTTAAAGTTAAGCGATTTTTGACCAATTAACATAATTATAATTGATCATTTGCTGTTTAAAGTACAGAAGTTGTAATTTTTCTGTGTAGTGACATAACATGCTTTTATTGATAATTCTTGTTATGACCTTCGATTTTATGAAAACTAAATGTGTGATGCATTTGTGTTTTAATCGAAATCTTTAAAAATATTAATGTTTGATCAGATAAAAAAATTATAGAATTACATTGGTTGAATTTTTTTCTGTTATACCATTAAACTAAAAATAGGCGTTCCCCAAAAGTTTATGTTTTTAGCTTCGATGCGAAGCTGAGAAGGTATTGGTTTTACTAAGATGTGTAAGATTTTTTTTTTTTTGTGTCTGTTACCACTTTTTCTCAGCTCTCACCGAACCGATTTCTTTCAATGATACGTCAAAAGATCACAAATCGTATCTAGTCGAAGACATTACCCTTAAAAATTGAAAAAAATTCCCTCGTTCCCCGTAAAAGGGGGAAACCTCCAAAAAAATTACAAATTTAAAAATCGCTAATTTTCGAAATTTTTTCAATTTTTTTTACTTAAAAGTGCCATAACTTTTTCAAAAATAAACATATCAATATAATTCTTTTTTATATAGATGCATAATATCATTACCTTTCATTTGGTATATTTTTTTCATAAATTTAACCCTTAACCTGCCCACAAGGGGGGATTTAAAATGACAACTTTTTCACAAAAAATTAATTTTTTTAACTTAAATTTTGAAAATGTTCCGGAAGGTCTGACACTTTTATATATATCTTAAATTAAAGCTAATGTAATATGCTTTATCATGAAAAAAAAAAATTTCGGACTTTATCTTATCTTCATGGTGAAAATGGCTACCGAATGCTATTTTTGTGTGAAAATTTTCGATTTTGTATTTTCCATTTTTAACTTTATTATGCTATAACTTTTTGAAAAATGTATGAATCATTACAATTTTTTTATGAGAAGTAGTATTTATATAGATCTTTCATTCGACATACTGTTTTTTTAAATCGGACCATTTCCCTAAATACAGGGGGGATTCAAAACATAAAAATGCATATAGAAAGTAGAACTTTTTCAACGTAACTTTTGAAAGTGTTCCGGAAGGTCTGACACTTTTATATATATCTTAAATTAAAGCTAATGTAATATACTTTATAATGGTAAAAAAAAATTTCGGACTTTATTTTATCTTCATGGTGAAAACAGACATTAAACTTAATAAAAAAAATACGATTTTTGTAAAAAAATTCTTTTTTATATTTTTAACTTTATAATGCTATAACTTCTCGAAAGATGTATGGATCAATATAATTCTTTTTTTTGTAGATGCATGATGTCTTTACCTATCATTTGGTATATTTTTTTTATAAATCTGACTTTTTACCTGCCTACAGGGGGGGATTCAAAATGACAACTTTTTCACAAAAAATTGACTTTTTCAACTTAAATTTTGAAAGTGTTCCGGAAAGTCTGACACTTTTATATATATCTTAAATTAAAGCTAATGTAATATACTTTATCATGGAAAAAAAAAATTTCGGACTTTATTTTATCTTCAAGGTGAAAATGGCTACCAAATGCTATTATTGTGTGAAAATTCTCAATTTTATTTTTTACATTTTTAACATTATAATGCTATAACTTATTGAAAAGTGTATTGATCAATATAATTTTTTTATGGGAAATACTATTTTCTAATAATCTCTTTTTTATTCGACATACTTTGTCTTAATCAGGATATTAATAAGGAACTAGCAGTTTATGAAGCTTTTGGAATAATCCACCAATTTTTTAAAATTAAACACTATCTAAAGATTTGCATCGAAGCGTTTTTTTTTGATAGTGATTTTAATCACTGTCAGATATCATTATACTTGATCCAACTATGCCACGTCACCACTGTGCCGCGACCCCCCTGTGCTGGGTTTTTATCATCGAAGAGACTAAAATATAATAATGTAATTATACATTATTGTAGGGTTTTTTTGTATCAATTAATATTTTTCTTCGCGATAATCTAAAATCAGAAAATTTTAGTTTTTTAGGTAAATGATTGAGAACATAGTTCTAAATAGATTACACAATATTAAAGACTTAGGCATATTATTTAATGGTAAATTAATTTTTAAAGTAGATGTACAGTTTAAAAAAAAGTATTGCGATGTCCAATTAAAAAATTGTTTAAATAAATTGTTGAGTTTTCATACTCAGATGTGTTAAAATCAGTTTATTTTACTTTGGTAAGATCTTGCTTTATTATATATGTATTCAGTAGCTAAGTTTTGTTAGGTCCTGGATAACTTATTAACTATTAGAACATCTCTCCTATTTGGTTTTACAGAGGTGTAAGGAAGTATAGTCTTATTTCTGTATACTATTGATAACAATGGACCTCTCAAAAATTTTTTAGATATTTAGTAAGTTTTATACTATTGAGTAGCCCAAGAAAACATTTTTTTTAACCTCTTCAAATGAAATTTTGGCCGTGTCCGCTGAATTTGATCAAATTTTAACTGTGATTAAAAGCTGCTAAGGTATTAATTTCATCAACATGTTTTTATTTTTTGTTGACTGTCTCAACAACTTCTACTAGACTATGAATAATCAATACGTTAAATTATCTAGAATTATGTATAACTAAAAAAATATCAATATATTTTTTTATTGAAAAAATAGTAATTTTTGAAAAAGTCTGTTTCTGATATTTGAAAACATTGGACAAATTGATTAATATCCTAAGTGGATTTGGAATTTAAATATAGCTACAGATCGTAATATAATATTATTGTATTTATCTCATTGTTTGTAACAATTTACCCGTTTCCTTATTTACTGAACACTGTGTATCAATCATAAAAATAAAAGAATACTTTAATAATATATTTAATATAAATATAATCAGTGAACATATTTTACTTTTTTTTTATTAACTAACATATTCCATTTAGATAAATATCTTAACTAAAATGAAATCGAACAAATGTAATATAATCAGAATAAAGGATAAAATTTCAAAATATTTATATACAAAAGAGCAAAGATTATACATGTATAATATTACGCGAACTACTACGCGGAAAAGTACAAAGTAAAAATATCCATCAAATAATCAGAGTGAACTTGATCTTTGTGAATAAGTGTGAACTTCATTGACGCAAGGGGAAATGGGCAAACGGCATACATAAATGTTAAACATCCATTGTAAATTCAGTATTACTAAATCCAGGCTCATTTTTTTTATGTCGAACAAATTATAACAAATAGGAGTGAATCAAGAATATATGGTAAATCCAATAAATTTTGAATCAGCGAATATTTTGTGTTACTTTTTTAGCTTCGGTACGAAGCTAAAAATAGCTACCGTATTAAATATATGCAATTTTTTGTTCTAATTTTTGGTTTTATATTTTATTATATGTAAATACACATTTTTTAATAATTAGTAATAATATCAAAACTTAAAAGTGATAGAAAAAGTCTAGTTTCAAATTTGAAAACAGTGCTAAAAGTTGATTTAGAAAAATATATTTTTGATTCCGATGAAAGTTTCTTGTAGACCAATGTATTTATTTATAAGTAAAAAAAGAATTGTTTATAAAGTATACATGTTTGTAATAGAAGTGACGAAGTATACTACTTTCTCATTTTTTATTATTTCTCCGTAAATATTACAATATGAAATTATTAAATATTAATACATACTATATTTAATTGCTATAATAAATATTTATTCATAAATTATAGTTTTAAATTTAAAAACTACTAATCAGGATATAATTAAGGAAATAGGACTTGATGTTGCTTTTATAAACACTATCTACAGAATTGCATCGAATCGTTTCTTATGATAGTGATTTAAATCACTGTGAAATATTATCTATACTTGTCCCAACTATCCCACGTCCATACGTTACTTTTTTCATGAGTTCACCCGATTTATAATATTAGNCTATGCCGCTACCCTACTACACTACCATTTTTTTTAAATTAATTTTTATGGTCTAAGATTACGCTAAAAATATGTATTTTATAATTTGTTTTTATAATTTTAATATAGCTCTTTTAAAATATATACTAATATTATTACAGTTAAATAATCGAATAGCATTTTCTAAGTTCAATGTCATTGTTTAAGCACTGCGTGTGAACATAGTTTGTGAACTCTATCGAGTATTATTTTTTAAGTTCATGAGTAAGAAAATCTTTTGACTAAGTAGAAATATTTTATTCATTGTATGCTGTATATGAATAAGTACTTTTAATTATTAGGAAAGATTGGAAGAATGATACGCCCGTTACTTTTTTCATGAGTTCACCCGATTTATAATATTAGACAATTTAGTCTTATCTCAGGTAATATTGATGATACANCGTTACTTTTTTCATGAGTTCACCCGATTTATAATATTAGACAATTTAGTCTTATCTCAGGTAATATTGATGATACAGAACCAAAAATTTTATTGTTTGAAAATATTTATCAGTAAAAATTTTAATTTTATAATATACTTGTTATATAATAAGAATTAAGTAATTGTAACTAATATTATTTAAAATCAAAGTTATATTTTAAATATTAATTTAAAACTAGAAAATATTTAGCTCAAAATTTTGTTGGGTTGATTATAATTTTAGTATATTTATAAATTTACAAGCATTTTTATATAGAGTGGGAATGGAACGCAGACGGAATATACGTACACCAGTACAGGCAACACTTATCCGTACTACACAGTAGTGTATTTAAGGGAGGTGTCAGGGAGTTATGATAACCTACTTAAACAGATGCTATACATATTTTTTGTTTTTTAATGTATCTTTTCTAATAATTATACTAAAAATAAGAAAAATTATCTTATACATTTGTAAGATATATTATACATAACAATATTATTGGTATGCCTAACTTTCACGAGATCTCCTTTTCTAATAAAAGAGATAAGAATAATTTTGAAATGTTCATTTAAAAGGAATTTAAAAATGCTTTTGGCATACGAATATGCATTGCTTAAAAGTTAATCATATCATTATTAAGAGTATTTTATAAGATGACATACTAAAAAAGTCGAACAAATCATAATACATAATAATTCTTTTAACACTAGTCACTCGATTTTTCTTGAAAAAATAATTATGTTAAGAAAATTATTTTAGGAATATTTAATTTCATATAATTCTTAATTTATTAATTATAATTCATTATTTAATTCATATCTAATACCTTAGAAGCGTGTCGACGTTATTTTTTTTGTGAAACATGCATATTGAACTAGTTTATAAAATTAAAAATTATCTAAATAATAGGTTGATAAGAACTTTTGATCCATTATTTCGGAAGTTATTACTATTTTAAAATATAGACGGGACATTAAGCATGGGTATGATGATTTTTATTACCATAAAATATTTCTCGATATTTATGATAATTATAATATATATTAAAAATGTTATTTTAAAATTTCTCTTGAAAAAACCATAATATATTAGAGTGCACGACAATGCGTTACGACAAGTATTTTAATTAAAACAACTCAACCGCTTATTCTGCCTACCGTACATCAATTTCTCCTTAAGTTAGGATTTTTAAATATAGATTAGGTTGTAGTAGCTTAGAATACTATAAAAAATTTAGTTCTTAATATTAAGTAATTTCAAAATAGGAATATTTCAAAGTTTTAATTTTTTTTAATGACTGACTAACTCATAATTATAATTATAAGACACTTCTCGTATAAGTAGAAACATGCAATTGGATACAAAAGTAGTTCTTATAGTGTAAGTAACGGAAAATATCTTGAAATAGTTATTTTATCAAAATATACGGCCATAAAGACAGAAGCGTCATTTTCAGTCAGGACGGGCAGTTATCAGTTTTTATTTTTTAGCGATACGTGAAAATTATATATTTTACTGGCTTAAGACACTAAAAAGGAACGATTTTCTTAATAATAATCTAACTGTAAAAAACGGCCAAATTTCAACCAACTCCTTCCTAAAAAAGTCTACTTATTAAAGTAGTTATCTTTGTAGCAAATTTTATTCTTTTTTAGACCAAAAATTCCATTCCTACATTTTAAGCAACATTGATTCCTTTTCGTGTTTTTTAACACTTGGCCCAGTATAGGCCAATATTCATTTAGGAACTACGTGCACGAAAAATAATTTGGTTAAAATATCCTTATAAACGGTTAATATAGTAGTGATAACTGCAATTTGACAGTTGAATTATTTCAACTGTTTTTATTAGAATTGTCACTATATTAAGTGTTTATATGATTATTCTAACCGTATTTTTTTCGTGTGAGATATGAGGATGAAAAAAAGATTCAGATTCTTTCATTGGTTTCATTGGAAATTCCGGATTATTTATGACAGTGGATGTTGAAACTGGGCCCTCCTACAGTTAGGTTTTTGTTTAGATGTAAATTAACGATGGTAATACCTTAGGAATGTTATACCCGTCAAGTTTTGTATTTCTTAATACTCTTCTAGGCCCAATTAATGGTGTAATGTGTGATAAACGTTTTGATTCTATTAGGACAGCTTGTAAATATTTACACCTAAAGAATAAATAAAATCAAAGTATATTTGAAAATTGTCTGATTTATTCAAATAGTATTTTACTCAAGAATATCTTCAGCTAATAGAAAAGTTCCAGGTGGTTTGATCGTGTCTAAATAGGCTTGAACTTTGGCTTGAATACTTGGCCACTTTGCCATAGCTAGTATTGCAAAATCAAGCGTACTACTTGTGGTTTTAGATCCAGCTATGAATAGATCTAAACATGTAGCTATCAGCTGTTCGTCTAAAAAAAAATGGTATCGAGTGTTTTTTTTTTATAAAAGTTATTTTATACATTTTTTTAGTTACTAACTATAGCTACCTGTAAAAGTTGTGTTGGAATTATTTTCTTTTTTAATCTTAAGAAGATACATGTCGATGAAATCTTTAGGATTATCTGTTAATGATTGCTTATGTTCATTGATAATTTTCTATATGTCAATTACAGTTAATAATGTTAGTAATTATCTACTTAACTATAAAATATAAATTATTTCCCATAATAAATATATTAAATATAATAATATAAATATATATAGATCTAATATTCTAAGAGTTTTAACTTGTACTTAAATAAATTTAATTATTTGATTACTTATAAAAAAAAAATTTTTTAATTAAATACGAGATAAAAATGTACTTATAGAATTTTAATATTTTACCGAAATTAACGAGAATAGTTGTTGATTAATATCCTTAATAAGTTTGAAACCTGACTTTTTGGGCGCTATACATCTTATCCATGGAATTTGACTAAGAAGACCCCCGGTCATGTTAAAAGCTGCGCTTCGTTTACTCATTAGAGATATTATGTTTGAGTCAATAAACTTAGTGCCTGCAGTGAACTGCCACAGAATATTAATTGCGGCAGTCTGGAAATAAGGTCCAGGTATAACACTTCCTGTTTCATTTAAGAAAACACGTTTCATTTGTTCAAATTCTTCGCGTATGAGAGCATCTGTTTTGTGTTGACCATCACTAAGATTTTTGAGACATTTAACAACGAACTCTTTATGGAGTTTCCATAATTCTCCGTCAGTCATAGTTATACCTAATTGTATCAATAAAAATATTAACGGTATTATTTTAAGTATCTTATTAAAATTTTATAAAGAGCCATCTAGTTACTAAATGACGGAGTAGATCGATGAATGGGGCTCAAGGGGAATAAATCCAGTTATATTCGAGTGCAGATTTTTTTAATCAGAATATTAATCATGATCAAAAATGTCATTAAATATAAATTTTGTCCTCATCATTGACACATATTCTTAGACATTAGAAACATTTTATTCAAAATATGGAAAGATAATAGATTTTAACTTCAATGCGAAGCTGAGAAGGTATTAATATTAACATGATGTATTTATTTATTATTATTATTTTTAGTGTTTCTGTCACTATTTTTTCTCAGTTCTCACTGGACCGAATTTTTTTATATAATAAAGTGAAATATTTTAATACTTAAAAGAGTTAAGTTCAAGACTATTTAATTAATTTGTTAAAATCTAGGTATAAATAGAAAAAAAAAATTTGGAGGAACTAATTTTATTTCTCGCTNATTAATTTGTTAAAATCTAGGTATAAATAGAAAAAAAAAATTTGGAGGAACTAATTTTATTTCTCGCTTAAAAATTTTTTTATATAAAAAAACACAGAATTTTCTAATTTTTGAGGGTTTGAAGATCTTAGCCCCTTAATGAGCCTACTAGATTTACGTCTAAATGTTAAAATGTAACTGGATATAATTTCAACTAAAAAATAACATTTTAACATTAAAATATACGGTTTGTAAACAGATTGAATAATTTGATATTTTATAATTGTAAAAATAATTCAAAATAATATTAGTCATAATTAAAGTATTTTTATTATAATTTTCTTATCCTATTTTTTTTATTAAATCGAATAATTTTACATAGAGTACAATATTTTAAAATTAACGCAACAAGTTAATATGCAAACATATTGAAGTTATTAAATATTTTTATAATTTATACTGTGGTCATTGACTATGACAACCTTAAAGATTTTATTTTATATTTTACATTTTTTTCAGTAATTAAATTATATTCGATAAAAAAAATACAGTAATTTATAAATATTTAATACTGTATCTATAACTGAAATCATAATTTATATAAAGAATGATTTTTAAATTAAAATAAAGTAATTTAATAAATGTTAACTAATAAAAAAACTACATCTATGTTTCATCTTGAACATTTTTATAGTTGTCTTTATAAAAAAGCAACATGATTTCAGTTATTATTTATTTACAATAATATTATTAATAAATAAGTTTTTTTATAAAATTTTGTTAACTTACCAAGACGTTTTCCCATTGTTCTAAGTCGTATGAAGAAGTTGTTAGGACGACCTTGAAACTCTTCCCCGTGTAAAATTTCATTAATAAGATTATTTCCATAGACTACTACCACATTTTCATGGCCTAACTTTAATCCTATTATGTCAGAATTGTATTGATTACGAAGATTTTCCAACGCTTTATGCTGTCCGCCCAATGCCGAAGAAAGCTTCGTTAATTGATAAGTGCATCCAAGGAATGGTATCCAGCGCGGTCCTAAAATTTACACAAATGTCATAAATATTCATTTCATTATTTTTTTTTAATTTTCAAGATATTTATTTTAGTAAATTATCCTGCGCGTTAATTGATTTAAATATTACTATACTTAAATATTGTTGGTTGAAAGGTTAAGTATTTTTTTTTTCAACTTTTTTTTGAAATGAAGGTTATAGCTATAATAGATAATATAGTGGTAAATACACTTGGACAAATATAGTAACCCACAAACAATTAATTTCTGTCTAAAATAAATTTTATTTTCAATTTGTAGTGTAACCGTCACTAATATAATACGGTAATATCGTTTGAGCCATAATAAAAATATTCATACTTTTAAATAATTTATTTTTTAATAGTATAGACCATTGAAAATTCCTATATATTATATTGGGTGGAGTAAAATTTTACAACTCAAGTAGTGTAACCTATCACTAAATCATTAATATAGATAAATTAGTTCATGCAGATTATAATAAATCGAATGATATTAAACCTTATCATTAAACAATCATTATAATATTTTACAAGACATATTTTAATTGTATAATTTTAGTTGATTTTTTTTATTGTACAAAATTATGTATAAATTTTAAAACAATATTCTTTAAGATTAATAAGATAATAAATTTTTTGTCTAAAATATTCAACAAAGATTGGACATAGACAAATATTTTTGAATTCTTTGATTTTAACAAGGGGTTTTTCATGAAGAGAAGAGACACAGTTTGAAGCTTATAAACAATAATCAAAAAATAATTAAAGAAAGCTGAAAGGCACTATTACCAAATAAAAATGTCTCCAATCTAACCCTTGATCTTTTAAATGCCAAGATGGATATAGTTTTATTACAGATTAAATTAGATAAGATGTTTTTTATGCTAATTTAAACTAGATAATATCTAAAGAAAATATTTTCTTTTAGCATCAATACAGAACAAGTCTCTCAAAAGAAGGAACATAAATTCCACTAATGAAACAAGAACTTTTTCAAAAAATTTATTTGACATCTTGTTTTATTTTTTGTTAATATAATTGATTATATTTAATGGTTTTTTCATATCTAATAATATTACTATTATAAAACATGCTATTGAGGGTTACAGTAATTGGAACTATTTAATTACTTCAAGTCAACGAATGTGTTAAAACTTTCATGGATTGTCTTGTTGCTTGAAGTGCTTAAGGATTTATTCATGTTTGTAGTTAAGTTCTGACTTTTCGGACTCATTGCAGAGTCCATCTTCAGAGTGATGGATGCTAGCAGTGGCTGCAACTATACTAGCCTAAAATTATATAATGAGTCCGAAACGTCAGAACTCAACTACAAATATGGAAAAATTCTTAAGTACTTCAAGTCGACTTAAGTATCCATCATTGCATAAAAATTCAACCCACAATAATTTATAGGTCAAGTGATGTAACCAACGAACTATTTTATATATAACTGTATTTTTATATTATATCACTTTGATATTATATAAAAATACATTATATTATATTTAGTTTGATAAGATGATATTGAACTATATAAGTATTTAAAATACCCAGCACAGTGGGGACGTGGCATAGTTGGATCAAGTATAATGATATCTGACTGTGATTAAAATCACTATCATAAAAAACGCTTCGATCCAAATCTGTAGATAGTGTTTAATTTAAAAAAAATGATGGATTATTCCAAAAGCTATATGATCTCCAATTTCCTTATTTATATCCTGATTACAAGTTTTATGATTTATAAGTGTAATATATGAATAACTATATATATAGGAAAATTGTTTTATTTAAAAAAAGTATATCGCATAAAAGAAGAATTTAAATAGTACTTATCTTCAAAAAATTATAATAATCCATACGTTTTTCAAAAAGTTATAGCATTATAAAGTTCAAAATGTAAAATACGATAGTCATTTTCATTATGAAGACAAAATAAAGTCCGAAATTTTTTTTTTTCAGTATAAAGTATATTGCATAAACTTTAATTTAAGATATATATATAAAAGTGCCAGTATTTCCGGAACACTTTCAAAAGTCAAGTTGAAAAAGATAATTTTTTGTGAAAAATTTGTCATTTTAAATCCCCCCCTGTGGGCAGGTAATGGGTCAGATTTATAAAAAAAATATAACTATTGATAGGAAAGACATCAATGGGAGAAATCTTCAAAAAAAATACAAATTTAAATTTTCGAAATTTTCGAGCTTTTTTTTACTTTTAAATTGCTATAACTTTTTCAAAAATGTATATATTTTTTTTATAAATGTATGATGTCTTTACCTATCATTTGATTTATTTATTTTATAAATCTAACCGTTTACCTGCCCACAGAAGGGGATTCAAATTGACAACTTTTACAAAAGAATTAACTTTTTCAACTAAACTTTAGAAAGTGTTCCGGAAATACTGACACTTTTATATATAACTTAAATTAAAGCTTTTGTAATATACTTTATTATAAAAAAAAACTTTCGGACTTTATTTTGTCTTCATTATGAAAATGACTATCGTATGATATTATTCTCGATTTTGTATTTAAAATTTTTAACTTTATAATGTTATAACTTTTTGAAAAATATATGTATCAATACAATTTTTTTATGAGAAATGATATTTATATACCTCTTTCATTCGACATACTTTTTTTTTAAATAAAACTATTTCCCTTTATATATTTATATATTTGTTTTAATTTATGCTGAAGTGGTGATAAGGATTTCTCAAGAAGTTTATTTACTTAATCAATTTTATCATTTTAACTGTAATTAATTTTAAATTTCATCTAATAATTTTACAAGTATTTGTTTTATAGTTGATTTAAGTTTTATTCAGAATTATTCTGTTCATAGGAATTCGAATAACAGTAATGTAATGGTTCCTGTATAATTTAAGTGCTATTCTGAAATATACTAGTAAGTAAATTGACTAATATAATAAGACAAGGTTGAAGGTTTTGAACTCCAATATCATTAAATGTAAAGGAAATGTTTTATTTTTAAGTTACGGGAAACTTTTTTTTCTACAACTATTACGTTTATATTTTTTATCTTATCTGAAAATTATTTCAAATAAAATTACCAGTGGCGCATCTAGACTATGAACTATTGTTGCAACACCCCAAGCCATAAATTAGCACCCCTAAACACTTTTTAAATCATATTTATTGGTACATAAAAATATTATTTATAATGGGATAAAAGTAAAATTAAAAATATAATTAAATAATAATAAATTTAAAATTAAAAAATATAAATAAAAAATTTATACCCCAAAAAGCCACAAAAATGACAAAAAAATCGCGTATATGTATTTCGGTATTAATGTTACCAATCAGTGCTAAACACATAATAGTATATGATTAGTTCAAATAGTCAATTTTCACTACAGAAAAGTAAACTTTTTATTAATTAGCAACTCTAAAAACGATATTCTAGATATATTACTGTATTAAAACAACATATTCGTACTATAAGGAATTTAAGCTTTTAATATTTATCAAGACAACTCAAACTTTTTTTTAATAATATTTGATTTTTGACATTTTTGATGATTAACAAATTAGTTGTAAATACTAATTTGGTTATGATGTTAAATAATTTTAAATAACGGCTTCAAATTTGCATAATATACATGTGAATTCATTATTCATTCAATAAATACGCTGGTTTACATAGAATTAAAAAATATGAGTGATTAATATAATTTCAATTTTATACATGTATATAAAATAAATATGACCCGAAAACATTTAACAGTAATTAGAGAACAAACATTTATCAAACACCTATAATTACTTGATTAATAAATGAAATTAAGTTCTAGTAATTTAAAACTTGATTATACTAGCAATCAAACTCAAGCACAGAATTTATAAGCTTAAATATTGACAAAAAAAGACATATAACATGTTATTATTTACTTGGTATTTAAATTACATGATAAAAACAAAATTAAACACTTAACTTTAAAGATACGCTTAGTTAGTTAATACTAGTTGTAATTTTTTTTTTACAAATTATAAAATTGATAAATATGAAAATTATTTGAATTCAACTCTTCATCTGAATATTAGATATTTTCCTTAATGTTTATAATTTTAAATATCATAAATATTTTATTTTATTATAGCATTATTTGATAAATAATTAACTTATAAAAAAATTAATGTATATTTTATGCATTATGTGTACAATATTATTCAAATTAAATATGAAAATATATTAATAGTCATTGTGTATTTACTGCATTACTGCGTTATTAATTAATGTTAAAATTAAAATTCATGTTAGAGTATAATTATTCATTCGCTAATTACATAAAAATTTGTACAATTACCTGGAGGAAAATTTGTCGGTTTTTTACAATTTAAAAAAGCAGCCAATAATAAAGAGATTATGACACAACACACAGTATACGGCCATAACATGAGAAATATCATTATGATAATACATACAGCAATATACTACACTCGTTTGCTAGACAACTTGCAAGACACGGTTATCGTCGTACAACTAGTATTAGGGCAGTACAGCAACGGATAAATTTATATGCACATGTTTTGTTCATAGATAATAATCCAGAGAATGATAATAGATATCAAAGGAGGGAGCCTAATTTCAGAATTACAATTGTTATGTAATTCATACTATTGTTATTTACAATGTGTTATTGTTATTTTGAAGATTAATTGAATGACACAATTAAGTAAAGATTTTGAAATTATTTTAATGGTGTGCATTAATTAAAGCCTTTCATGAACACTATATTATTAATTTATTATAATATAATGGGCTCATTTATAACTTTTATCATAAAAATTAGCCCCAATAGCTCCTTAACAAACTACTTCAAGCATTATTTAATGGGGATTAATTACACTTTTATTTTTGGTTTTAAGGGGGTTATAAAAATATGTTTTAGGTATATATCCCTTAAGTCTAATCACTATAATATAAAGCGAAGAAAATGGCTATAGTGGTGTAATAAAATAACTGAATAAAACCTGATGAAAAACTTCTTATCGCATAATATAAGACATGTGGTATGGAATATTTATCTATTGCCCATGACTAGTCTTAATTTATCTAGATAAAAACTGAAATAGTTCTTAATAAACAATTTTCAAATAATAAATTATAATTTAAACATGAATACAAAAGGTTTTCATTTATTTTAAATTTATAAACCAGAAGATTTTTCTGATATAATGTATTTTTAAATATTACTGTGATCACATTTATTCGACACTCTTAATAGGTACAACTCGATAGTTATTTTAAATAAGGGCGTTCACCAGGCAGATTAAAAATAATACCGGCCGATTAGATTAGTCGCCATAGAGAATGCTACAGAAAGCAAATGTGGCGTATTTGTAAGTGATGTCTCGTCTGGACACAACTTAAATGATAAAATTTTTAACAAACTAATGAAATCCACTTATAACCAATTAATGAATTCATTTATTTTCTGATACTGCTGTATTTTTTTATTTTTAATGTAAGTTAATTTATCTATAACAAAAAAAAACTGTTTGTCTTTAAGCATAAATAACAAAAATGGTTACAATTAATATTTTATTAATTATTAATATATGCATTCAATAATTTATCTGCTAATTATTTAACACTGTCGTAGTAAAAGTTTTACTCATAATGTTTATTAATTAAATAATAAATATATTTTAATGAATTACCTCGATTTTCTTATTAGGATTTATTATGAAATGAAATATAAATATTCAGTTTTTTTTACAAAATATTCAAATATAATGAATAAAATTAGTAGCGTATCCATTATTATTCAATTGAGGGCAGTAGCGTGTCAATTGAGGGGCTACCTGAGAAGCTGCCTTATGTCACAACAATTAGGCACCACTACGATTTTGGGAGCATATTGACCGAAGATAAATCCTAATAATATTTTTGAAAAAAAATGGTCGAATATATAAGTTTAATCACTAAATTCAAATATGATAATAATTTGTTATCTCTATCAATTTTAGGAGAAATATAGAAGACCATTTTTCAATATTAGTAATTTCTTAGAGTCACATATAAAAATATATTTTGAGATCACAGAATTAAAATCGACATTCATTTTTGTTAATTTAAGAAATAGTGTTTTCGACTTAAGTTTATATTTAATATTAAACAATATTTTATATTTTACTAATAGCAAAAATTATTACAATAAACAGGTACAATAGATAAATAACTTCTCATAAATGAGCGAATATTTAAGAAAACACTACTAATCACTAGACAATGATGAAAAAATTAATTTAAAAAAAAAATCTATATATAATCTATGTTTTAAGCAAACAATTAAAATATTAGATTTTATTTTCTATATAATTTTTTAGGTATATAATTATAAAACAAAATCATTTTTAACGATTTCAAATAAACAATTATTTTTTTCTCATTGTTACATTTAAAAAAAAAAATATTATTATTTCACTTCTGGATGAGTTGGTGCAAATGAGTAATGAAAAGTTGAATGAGTACATATATACGCTTCAAATTAAATAAAAAATCAAACCTCCAAGATCTCCCCAAAAAGTTTTCCTATTATTTCAAGTTAAAAGTTGTAATTTTTTCTTCAACATTACAGACTTTAAGAGTTTAATAATATCATAAGAATAATTAAAAAAACTCATCGAAGACATATATTATTTATATATCTGAGATTAAACTCTTTAAAATTTAGGTTAAGTAGTGAAAAATAATTATTATGTTAAAAAAACCCAGCACAGTGGGGTCGCGGCTCGTGGGGACGTGGCATAGTTGGATCAAGTATAATGATATCCGACAGTGATTAATATCACTATAAAAAAAACGCTTCTATACAAATCTTTAGACAGTGTTTAATTTTAAAAAGTTGGTGGATTATTCCAAAAGCTACATGATCTGCTATTTTCTTATTAATATCCTGAATGAAAAAGGGATTATTAAAAAATATTATTTCTCATAAAAAAATTGTGTTGATCCATACACTTCAATAAGTTATAGCATTATAAAGTTAAAAATGTAAAAAATAAAATCAAGAATTTTCAAACGAAAATAGCATTTGGTAGCCATTTTCACCGTGAAGACAAAATAAAGTCCGAAATTTTTTTAAATGAAAAAGTACATTACATTAGCTTTAATTTACGATATATAAAAAATTGTTAGACTTTCTGGAACATTTTAAAAATTTAAGTGGAAAAAGTTAATTTTTTGTGAAAAAGTTGTCATTTTGAATCCCTCCCTGTGGGCTAGTAAAGGGTAAAATTTATAAAAAAAATATACCAAATGATAGGTAAAGACATCAAGCATCTATAAAAAAAAAAGTTATATTGATTTGTTCATTTTTGAAAAAGTTATGGCAGTTTTAAGTAAAAAATTTCGAAAATTAGCGATTTTTAAATTTGTAATTTTTTTGGAGGTTTCCCCCATTTACGGGGAACGAGGGAAATTTTTTTAATTTTTGAGGGTAATGTCTTCGAATAGATATGATTTGTGATCTTTTGACGTATAATTGAAAGAAATCGGTTCGGTGAAAGCTGAGAAAAAGTGGTAACAGACACAATTTTTAATTAAAATTACTATTTTTATTTATTACCATTAACATGCTTATTTGTCCTAAATCATAATGATTACTATCAAAATTATTAAATTGGTTGTAGTTATGTAATAGTCAATATTTTTAATAATAAATGCAACAATACATAGAAAATTAGTTTATTTATGACCAGCCAAAATCGAACATTGATGATCGGTTGAGGATTCCATATAAAAATATAATACACTACAAACTGTATTTTCAAATTTCGAAATCAAAATCTGTATCGATGATCGTTGAAAACATAGTTAAATAAAAATTGTATATACATCATAATATTTTTACATTTTTTACTGTAGCAATGATATTTATTGAAAAATCGTCAAAATAACATGATAAAATATTGAAGTGATTATTTTTGTTTAATATAAAGGGAGGGAGACTGCCTCCCTACCCCAAAATATTAAAAATAAAAAATTGCCATACCCACCATAGGTGTATTTTTATATTTCCCTATATCTCCTTCCTATGAGCACACTATTTAATAAATTAACTATTTCATTAATAAATATTAAATTAAGTAAAAGTAGTAGAATTAAATTACTCAATAGATGTATACCTGTAATCAAAGATTAAGTAAAGTTAATTTTTTACCAAATTTAAAGAAAATAAATAAATATTTTGTCTTTTTGATGCGTTATTGTTCAAATTTACACTGTAGCCAAAATTATGTTTACCCAGAAACAGGTAAATTATGTTGTAATAAAATAATTTTAGGGTCATAATTTAATTCATTTTTACATGGCAAAATAAAATAAAATATATTTGTATATTTAGGCTGTTATTTATTATATATATACGTATGATTTATATATATTATATATTATTATAATCATAATAATGAGATTTTTAAAAAATATTTCCAAATAAAAATGTTCTTTGTTTTTTAGTTACCATTTGAAAAATTAAAGTTTATATTCTCATAATGTACAATAGGTGAATATGTAAATGTTTTAAAATTATATTTATTTTTTGAGTAATTATGTGGTTATGATAAACGAACTACCTAATATTGCTTGTATAGGTGCAAATGGTAGAACATTTTTGGGATGGTATTGGATATTTCTGAGGTACTAATTATCCAAATAAACTCCTGTTTGTGTCCATATAGGCACGTTTTAGAACTGTATTATAGTTTTAAAACGAATTTAAACTTTTAAAATTATAATTAAAATATTTAATGTCAATCAAAAAAATAAATAAAATAAGTACAATAAATTGCTGTAATTTATTAATATTAAAATTTCAACATTACAGGTATTCATTTTTACATTAAAAGTCTGTTCAAATAATTATTTAGCAGTAATTTTAGCTGTAATTATTTTGATGGTAATTTTATTCAAAAATAAAAATGATAGGAGAACATACTTAGCAAAACAAATAAGTGGCCTAAATGGATTATCTTATGTTGGAATTTTACCTCTTTTATTTCAAGGTCCAGAAACAATTTTGACTTTAACCCTACAATTATTTAGAAGGTATATTAGTTATTTAATCTGTAAATTATATAATACAAAAAATGTTGATATCATAAATAAATAATCGAAATTTGAAGCAAAAGATTATTGTCACTGGTTTCAGAAAAAGTGCCGGATTAAGACATATTAAATTATAAGTTTTTGGATGATCTTTTCTATAAATATATTTATCGAAATAATGAAATGATGAGTGATAAATGTTATGAATATAATACGTTAAAGAAATATTTTTAAATAGTATAATATATTCTCAGAATATTAAAATTATTGGCCAAACGTTATTGGCTGTTAATGTTACTATAATATTCTAAACTCTTATATGAAACTAACTGAAAATATTTCCAGTTTGTTTTCATTTAGAATTCAATATTCTTTAACAAATTTTGGGAATCTTAAATTGCTATCTTGGAACTGTTAGTAATTTAATAGTTACTACAGTAACTATTAAATTGTTTAAATTTTTTTTATGGATAATTTTTATTACATGAAATAATCATTTTTTTATAATATATTGATTGACATATTGATTTTTTCGGGAGAGAGGGGTTATTACACTTTTGAGCCATCATTAAATTTGAGTAGAATAACTAACTATATTTTGTTGTTTCTTTTTCAAAGGTTACTATTTAAAATTTAGGTATAACTATATACATATATTATATATGTATATAAATATTTAATAATAAAAAATAATTGGCATAATGAAAATTAAAAAATACACATATTTACTTTATTTTAAAACATTGGTGACACTCCAAAATCCATTTTTCTCTTGTAATTTAATCCAACCCAACTAATCAATTATTTTAACTATAATTGACTCAAATTTAGAAAAATTATTATTTTGATATCATATTGTTTTTGTCTTTATTTGTATCAATATATATATTTTTTGTTAAAGTAAAAATTTAAGGTACTTCAAAATATCTGAACCTTATTTTAGATTTGGAAAATCTACGTTTAAAATCTGGATACTAGATAACTTGTACATTTTTCCGACAAAACCAGAAGATATAGAAATAATTTTAAACAACACTATGCTCTTCAAAAAATCGAACGATTATTTGGTATTAAAAGAATCAATTATGAGTCAAGGAATATTCTCTTCAGAAAAGTATCACAAATGGAAAACTAACAGGTAAATAAATTATTTTTTAGATAACGAAAAGTAGGAATTTGAGTAGTATGATGATTAATTAATTTTGATAGAGAGAAATTTTATATCAAAATATTATTTAATTTTTTATAATTTCAGAAAAATGGTAGCTACGGGATTTAATTTTTCTATTATAAAATCTTTTATACCAATATTCTACGAAGAAGCTATGATTCTTGGTAATATATTATATAAAAGGCGTAATTTTTATACACACGAATGTGAAGTCAGTAAATCAGTTAGCATGGCAACAATGGAAATGATCGGAAGAACGGCTTTCGGAGTAAAATTTAATGCTCAACATAATAGTAATCATGAATTTGTCTCTCACTTTAAAATTATTCAAAAGGTATTGAAATTTAGTTGTAGTAATCAAATTTTTGATAATGATGGTGGTTTAATTATATTGTTTATTTTCAAGGCATGGGCTTACAGAATTCTCCACCCATGGTTTCTAAACAAAACATTATTTAAAATGTCATCTGTGAAACAGAAACATGATAAGAGTCAACGTATAATTTTCGATTTTATAGACAATTTATTAAAAAAAAAACAAGCAGAGATGAATGAAAAAAAAAACAACTATGATCTAGAAAACGTTAACGATTGCAAAAAAACAAAAACCCTTATAGAAATTTTACTGGAAAATGAGAATATGAAGCATACACAAATTCGTCAAGAAGCTATAACTGTTATAATTGGTATGCGATATAACAAAAAAAAAAAAAAAAATGAATATTATTTAACGGAGTAAATTCATTCTGTTATAAAAAATACACCTATATATTAAAATTACGTATACATATAAATATCACCAATTTCAGTATGAATATTTTATTGGTTACCTACTTAATTTAAAATATTCTTTTATATGTATTAAATTAATTTAAAAAAATTTAAATGTTTATTCTATATTGAAAAATATAAGTAAACAATATGGAAAATATTATCAGAAAATATGTTAATAATATTTTGACCGTTCTTCATTAAGAACTTTTCTTAAATTTTTTTATTCATAGATGAATACAAAAGATCCTGTATAGATCAAATCATTTAAAAATAATCTGACCCGATATAATTTAAAGTAAGTTCGACTCAATTCAGCCTGAAACAACAATCCAAAAAAACCCAATTCAGTCTGACAGAAAAACAACACACAAGTTTTCAATCAATCTTTTTTAATTTAATTTTCCTACTTTTAAATTTAATATTCACGATATTTAGATTCAATACAAAACTGAGAAGGTATTAATTTTACTATGATATTTTTTTCTGTGGATACAAATAATTTTTTGAACATTTCTGAGATATGTCCCTTTTATTTGCCATATACAAGGTCATTCTTTTAATGCTAACCTTTCAATTTCTTCTAAAATAATAATTACATTATTTAAACTATTTTTGGTATTTTTAGTTTCATATATTTCTTAATTTATCAGTTATTAATTAGATTCTTAATTTATCCCTTTTACCTTATAAGAGTGTCAAATTGATTTTTTTTTAATGGCAACATACATATTTAACTAGCTTATAAAATAAAAATTTTCTAATTAAAAAAATTACTTGTCGATAACAACTTTACTTCGAAAGTTATCAATATTTTTATACTTAAACGGGAGGAGAGGTACAACCGTAAAATTTTTAATGCAGTATAACAGTCTATAAATTACAATGGTAATAATTTCCAAAATAATGAATACATTTTTGAGTAAAAATCGTTATATTATAAATTATTTGAATTTGAAAACAAATATTAAGAATATAATTTTTTTGCTAATTAGTGTTTATTCTTTGGTCAAATAATGGGGAAGGGTTTAACCTTGGAACGCTAGCGTACGTCAGACTGACGTATCGTGCGCGCGCCGATTGCTTCCCCTTCTGTCCCTTCCCTCCTGTACCTCTGTACCTTTTTTACGTGATTTGAATAATGACTCTTAAAAATGATCATAGCTCGTTTTTATCGCAACTCACGCCGTTAACAATAAAAAACTATCAAAGGAGTCAAATTGACGCATCGCTGGTAAAATGCGTCTACAAGATATCGCTAGCGTTCCAGGGTTAAGAGGACCGTACCACTATCAACAATTTTTTTGTAATTTTCTTTTGTACAATCGTGTAGAAGCCTTTATTGATAGTGATGTTTATCATCGTTGTGCATCAATCTATACTTATGTGTTCATGCTGGATTTTGACCGTACTGTGTTTTTTATATCAATCACAATCAAAATATTTTACAGGTTTTTGAGTTGCTCTATGTTAATCTAACCTAATTTCAATATTTTTGAAACGTCCGCAATCCATATACTAAAACTTGGTCCGATCCAATCTAGACCGACTTAGAGTTGGATAATGCCCAACATTTTATTAATAATTTATGGACTCATTCCATAACTAAATAAAATTAAATAAAAGTTGTAAACAGTAATTAAAATAAAAAATATTAAGTTAATTTATAACGTCACAAATTCGAAGGTGGGACCGTTTATAATTTTTTTGTTATGTCTATTTATTTATTTTATGGCGCAAGAGAATGCGCGCATTTCTCGAACTTTTATCTGACACAGCGGTGTCAATAACTCATTATTTTTGCTCTGACCGCTAGATAAGGCGACAAAGGAGAATAAATATAATTAAAATCGAATTATTTATGGGTATTGATCCCTCCCAAAAAGACTGGCCGTTATCGATTTGAATTTGCCATTAGATCAGTATTGGCTCTTTTTCCTTCTTCTATCATTGACTATGCTAGAAAGCAAGCGTTTGTTGTTTTCTTGTAACACTTTTTTCAATGATAGAGCCGCCAACGGCGGAGCATCCAAACCATTGAATGGAGACCGGGTATCGTTTTCTTTTAGCAAAGGGCAGTGCCGTGTCAATATTATATTCATGTAATGAGCTGTATTTTATTAATTATTTTATTTTATTATAAATTAACTTAATTTTATTTATGCGTGGAGAGCACCTGTTTCTTTTCTCTTCTAGCCTACGCTAAGGAGCAAGTTTCCAGACCGCTCTTGGTATTTTTCATTGATTTCCGATTAACATTAACGGTGTTTCAATACCGTCCGTGATGTATATTATATTATTTGATTTTGTTTACATATTTTATTTTATTTTTGTTGTCAGCCTTTCTTTGTACACATGGTTTTTGATACATTCGTATTTTTTTCTATGATTAACTAAATATTCTTTTTTTTAGCAATTAAATTAAATTTCCTTATTAATTTTAACTATAATATTTATTTTTCTCGCGTGTATTTTTATCCCTGTTCCTTAATCTAGACATGGGCTACGGTGTGTTTTACATATCAACCACATACAACTTCAATGATCATAGTTATGGTTAATAAACCACGAGGTATTATAATAATTTACACATATAATGACATATTAACTTAAATTAAACTATTAATTAACTTAAAATTAAATTCCACTTATGATCCTGTAATCATATCTGATAGGTGTGACAACTCATCTAGGTGGTGGTCACATTTGCTACCATAGCTAGTCGTTATGTAAGTGGCAAACCACGTTGTTGTTGTAGGCCGACAAAAAGCCCACTTGCAAACTCTACGTTAGTATTGATATATTTAGGTAAAACTAATTTTTTCAGTTTCACAAGAAAATATAAATAAAGTCACAAGCTATTAACTATATTTTTATAATTTTAGCTTAGCAAGCTTTTTACTTGAGACTTTTTGTTTTTTAGGGGGACAAGATACAACAGCTTTTACTAATTCATGTATACTATTTATGTTGGCTCATCATCAAGATGTTCAAGATAATGTAAGTATATAATAATTTGTGGTTAAAAACGGTTGAGTATTTAGTTATTTTTAAATAATTGTTCAGAAAATAATTCTTTTTTATTTTGTTTTAATTTTTAAAATCAAAGTTAATCCATTTTTTTAGATTAGTTATTTTAATATATGTACTTTTTATTCTGTACCATTGTTTTATAGGTGTTTGAAGAAATAAGTACAATATTTTCATCTGGTGATCCTGATCGAATACCAACTTACGAGGATTTGCAACAAATGAAATACCTTGAGTGTGTTATTAAAGAAACCCTAAGATTGTATCCACCATTACCTTTTATGTGCAAAAATGTTCAACAAGAATTTAAATTGGGAAATCACTTGATTCCTGCAGGTAAACTATAACTTAAGTAAAAACTAGATAGGAAAACTCAAATTAAGTAAAAATCTACCTTTATAGTTTAGTTTTAAATAACTTCACCTAACCATTAACTGTAATAAATGGTAATGTTAAATACATTTAATGTTTTAAAAGTAAAATGAATATTTATTTATGTGTTGTAAGACAAATAAAAAGTCCACCAGTAAGATAGTAGTGTTGGTGTGGTGAATAACGTTGTTTGCTACAGTATAGCACTACGGTGCTATCGAGGGTATCGAAGACAGGATATATAGAGGATGAGAACTAAAAATACCAAGGTATATGGTGCAAACAAAATGCAAGATACAAATACCTGGTGTAACAGTTTGGAGTTCTGTCATTATTAGGATTCTTGTAATCCTTTGTGGGGGGCACTATCAGATAGACGTTTTTTACCAGTCCAAGGTTGCATTATTAATACTGGTAAACAGGGAAATCTGGGAGCCCACGTTGTCGGCTTAACGTGTCAGATTCATGGTATCGGACTAGATTGGGCTTGGTTTCTAAGCTTGAGGACACTGCGGTTTTGCGTTATTCCGATGCGCGCATGACCATTGTAATGTAATAAAATTATAATGTGTATATGGTAACAGATAAATATATTCATAAAGTACGCGTCGTACATCTGTAGATTCAAAGTTATACATATACACATAGATTTATTTAGTATGTTAATGAATTGTCCTACCACCCGTGTTTCTTTTATCCTAAATATCACCAAATTTTTCAACGGTCAATCAACGCTATGGTTACACTGTTCACCACCCTCTCCCAAGTGATAACAAGCCGGCTTGGTAGATGCGAAATAGTACGGTTATGTTAAAAAAAGTTCACATCTTGGTCAACATCATTATGATCATCATGTTGCTATCAACTTTCAAAATAAAGTTGAAGGTTTTCAATTTATCTTAGCCATGATTATGGCACAAATAACTGCATATAAGAACTTCTTGGATATCACAACATCGGATAATTGTAATGTGGTATTTTATTTCTTTGTAACCTTTTGCACGATGCGGTCATTTTATATTATTTTATCTTTTATTTAGGCTAATTGACTACATGGTCTGATTGATCTATGTGATCTTATTTCATTGTTTCTTTATTCGTCCCATTATTTGAGCTGACAGTTCCTCGGGTGTAGTTAAGGTGTAAATGGTGAACATATTATTGGGTCCTCATATTTATGAATATAATATATCTTACCTTCATCACAAAAGATATATGTGACAAATCAATTCATATATTAGCTTCGATGCGAAGCTGACAAGGTATTGGTTTTACTAAGATGTGTTTTTTTTTTTTTTTTGTGTCTCTTACCACTTTTTCTCAGCTCTCACGGAACCGATTTCTTTCAACGATACGACAAAAGATCACAAATCGTATCTAGTCGAAGACATTACTCTCAAAAATTGAAAAAATTTCCCTCGTTCCCCGCAAATGGGGGAAATATCAAAAAAAATTACAAATTTAAATATCGGTAAATTTTGTCATTTTTTTCACTTTTTTTTCTTAAAATTTCCATAACTTTTTCAAAATTCAACAAATCAACATAATTTTTTTATATACTAAAATCTTAGATATTTCCCTTTCATTTGACATCATTATTTTGAAAATCTAACACTTAACCTGTTCATTGGGGGGGATTTAAAATGACAACTTTTTTACAAAAAATTAACTTTTTTAACTTTACTTTTGATAGTGTTTCGGAAATTCTGACACTTTTATATATATCTTAAATTAAAGCTAATGTAATATAATTTAATATGGAAAAAAAAATTTCGGACTTTATTTTGTCTTAACGGTGAAAATGGCTACTGAATACTATTTTTGTGTGTAAATCACTGTCAGATATCATTATACTTGACCAACTATGCCACGTCACCAATGTGCCGCGACTCCCCTATGCTGGGTTTATTTTTAGTTATTAATTATATCATTTTTTACAGATTCAACACTAACAATATTCATTCCAGGCATTCATTTAAATCCAAAATATTATGATAAGCCAAGATCATTCAATCCGGATAATTTCTTGCCAGATGTGTATCGTCAACGGCATCCATGTACCTTTATCCCATTTAGCGCAGGATATAGAAATTGTATTGGTGTAAAATATGCAATGACTCAAATGAAAACTGTTATATCTACTTTAGTGAGATTTTATCATTTTTCTCCATCAGCCAGATATCCTTCGTCAAAAAGTTTAAGGTTGGAGTTTTTAGGATCACTTAAGTTTATTAACGGTTGTTATATAAACATAAGATTTCGAACATAATTCTACTCTTAATGTATAATTTATTATTGCTGATTTTATCACTTGCTATTGTGATAATTCATTTTGCGACAAATTCAATCTATTATTTAAATATTAATTTACTTCAAGAGAATACAAATCTGTTAATGTATTTTTTACACCATTTTTGTTTTACATATCAATTTTTTAATTATTAAACTGAACTATTATTACAGAAGATATGTATATATTGTAAATGGATTGAAGGAGAAATATATCTAAAAAATTCCTAATAATTAAAATAATCATAATTCGAACTGCATTTCTAGTCTATTTTCCAAAATAGAACAGAACCGACGATAAGTTATTATTATATGTTTTTCCTTAAAAATTTAAGCATAGGCAATACATTTTATCATAATCAATAATTATTATAAATATAAATGTGCGTTTATCTTTGACTATGATACACTATGCAACTCGCATCAGAATGACTGAATCAACGATAATGTTTGTTAGATTCAATTTTAAACTAAGTGCAATTACGTTCTTATGGTTTAGAATTTTAAATAGTTCAGTACAATTATTATTAACTATGTAGCAGCATTATGTAAAATAACTGTGTAGTGCAAACATTTAAAATCTATGTATCCAATATTCTAAACAATTCCCCACTTATAATAATGTGAATCCGATAAAGTCATTTAATTCCTATTTTTTTCCTCTGTGCAAAAAACTTTAAACGGTTCAATGAATTTTGTTTCCTTAATTAATCTGGACATAGGAAATAAGACAAAAACTTCACTTAGCCATATCAAGTACTTGTAAAGATAGTTATATGCGTTATTTATATACTTTCTTATGGTGCATTAAAATTCTTAAAAAACCATATAAGGTAAGCGTTTTAAAAAATATGTACTAAATTTTTTTTTATTTTAATTTTTTTTTATTTTAATTATTTTTTATTACTCAAAGAAATTATACACTACTTTTGATAATTATATTATAATATTTTTTTATTTTCTTCAAATAATCTCAATAAATGAACATTATATATTATTGTTAGCTTCGATGCGAAGCTCAGAAGGTATGAATTTTACTATGATGTGTTTTTTTTTTTTTTTTTTTTTT